TGAGAGCAGCAGGGGTTGTCTGCTGTCGCCCCTCTGTCAGCTACTCCACGAAAACTAAGCAATCTGGACGTGACCTGTCCCTCCGAGTGCGTGCAAAATTAACCTGTTTTGTGTTCTGCTATCACAGCCTTGCATGTTGCAATTGCTTTGCCAAAGTTTATAAGTAGTTAACCTTAGAGGTTTTGTTACGGATAATAAACTACTGTTTTTTGCAGTTTCGTTCAACTGAAACTCTGGTGCAAATTAAACTTCTCCTGCCACCCCACATTACCCCTTAAAATGCGGTGTTTTGTTAGAAATGCAATTGTCTCCATTTAACTGTTGCAATAATTTATGCGCGCTGTATCCTGTCAAAACAAACTACCACTGTCCGGATGTAACGAGTTTGTTGGTATAATTACGTGTCTCTGCATCACTTATTCGTCAATGCTCCTGTGTGAACGGTAGGGCAATTTCAGACAAAATTATTGCTCAAGTTACCGCTTCCAGCTGTTGTTTCGCCTCTTCGTCAGAGTGGCATTTGTCAAGCCAGTGGCAGCGCAATGTCCGCAAGGACACTATCCGCCCGCCGTCGCGGCTACAACGGGCAGGGGCCCTGTAATGCGGCGGGGCATGCTTACACCCCCCCCCCTGTGCGTCAGGAGGACAAGCAGTCAGCTCACGACTTTCTGGGTAGAGCATGATCTGGTTGTACGGACATTCACGTGTTGACTCACCGCCGCACTGGCAACAGAAATCCGCCTGTCCCCTTTTCCTCCCACCACCTGCCACGCACCTCACTCACACGCCATCCAGAACACCGTGGTGAGTCACCACGCCCTCGCGAGAACACATCCGTCACCCCGATGAGAGGTCAGGCGGCAGCTGGCTTTCCTAGGCTTCACGACCTGAGGCATCGGGGTCACAAAAGAGCACACCCTTTTCCTCCGGCATGAAACGGTGTTGGCTTGGAAGAACGACAATGTACCTTTAGGTGCTTATTGGAAAAAAATGTCAAATCTGCTACTGCCTTCTAAACATGTTGAATCTTGAGCTAGTCAATTTATCGTGTTCATGCGTTGTCAACTGACGGAGTGCTTATCTGACAACTTGGTATTCTGGATTGCAGACGAAGACTTGGATGTAAACCGTGTCACGCGAAGACTCACTCTTGGACCTAATTGGTCTACCCCCCCCCCCGCTGCGCAACCCACCGTTGCAAATTGTGTCTGTTTCGGAAGCCAATTTTTGCTAATCATTCGAAACGCACACGTTGTCAAGTGATGCCACTTCAATCGATGCCCCCAAATGTGTTTCCACCAGTTGAAACACAGACCTTTGTTTGCGCGATGCTAATATATTTCATGAATTGGCTGAATCCATAGACTCCAGCGAAACGATGGTTTAGTATGGCCCCTTTTTAACTATTGTCTGACGCATCAGTCGGCGTCGGATGTTTCTAAACATTTTGCAGTTTGTACATGTGCTCTGTTACCTTTAGAAGGTCGGTACTTCGTTGGTTGCGCGCTTATCAATCCACTGGTCAGTCTTCACGGCAAGAAATACCTCGACCTAACCCAATAATCTTTTGTGTCTGTGTTACTTTCTTCCCGATTGACCAGCGCTAAGTTGGTCTAGGACGTCGTTAAGCTTTCTTATTGAAAGCTTGAGATACCTGTACCGGGTACTGAATGTGCAGTCGGGTGAGGATCTAGGGAGGGTTGTATCGCAGTATCTCTGCAGCTCTGCCGAAGCCGGCTTATGGATGCGGAGCCTGACCTTCCACGCGTGGTCGTGTGACGCGAGGTCGACCTAGAACAGATCTTTAAGACGCCGGCACCAGGACGCTAATGTTATGCCACTTCTCGGAGATACTGCTGGTGAGGCCATCAAATGATGGAAGCGGCCTAATGACCCAGGCGATCTGTCAGCATCGACGCTGGCTACTCTAGTAATTAACCGAGAATTACGCGCTCAGATAACCGGTACCTCAGATCCCTTGTCTGACACTAGATCTCATCTTACCACGCTGATGTAAAGTGGGCATGATTTCGTTCAGGGATGACCTTGACCTGGTGGATTAAGGCACATTAACACAGACGGAGCTGTCAGTAGGGCGCCATGGATGACGCACCCACTGAAGTGGCGTGGTTAGGGGAATTTTGTAAACAATAACGAAATCCTAGCCCTCAGTGAGCCGTCTAGGGAAATGCTGAATCCCCAACAGTCTGATCACCTCGACTTCATCCACTCTTTAGTCATAGTGATAAATAATATACCAAAATATAAGTCATTTAGGCTATTTATTGTTACGTCCGGGTCCACAAAAATGGTGAATCGATGACGGAACTCCCCAACTCCATTAGCGTACAAGCGACACCTCTCTTTGTTCCCTTATTTCAACAGGTATTTTCACTGTGGCCTCGCAAATCGTCCGCTATCAAAACGGAACCACGTCTTTGCTTCTACCAACTTTCTCGAATTTTGTTACGGTCTATCGTCAAATTCACAAAGATTCGCTGGAAATCTTTCCGGTTAGGCTGCCGAAACCCTGTGTGAATTGTTGTTCTATCCATGGCCTTTACCTATATTTCCTGAGTGTAGTTAGTGTGTGTTGTGTCCACTTTAAAACGAGCAGATGATGCGAAAATATTCCGATGCGCCTAGGCCAATACTAATATGAAAGGCTTCTTCTCCGAGTGAACACCTATCAAAAAATATGTGTGAACGACTTCATAGGCATTTGCGAATGTATCTGTTTTCCTCAGCAGAAGCTCCACTAAACGCAAAATAGCATCGTTTTCCCCGGGTGCTGCGTCGTACCCTTTTTGGGCGATTATCAAGGACCGTCGCATCCGAGAGCACCGTGTTTTTCTGGACTCCATGCAAAAAAGCGCGATTTTCCCCACCGAATTCAGTGATATCCACCTCCCGGCGCCTCTGGTGTAGCCAAATTTCTCTCGCCTTCTCTCTACTCTGCCGCGTCGTGTTTTGCCGTTCACTCCAAGGCCGGTGGGTGCGCGCGTGCCCACTCGCTTAGTCTTCTCTTGCCTGTGCGTGACTCACTTGCGTCCTCTCTTTCTCTCCCTCTCTCACTTCATTTTCCTTCCTGCTCGAACGTTTGCTCCAATCAGCAGAGGCGCAAAGAGCGACTCTGGCTTGCTCCAAGCCTGGTAACGATCGAACTACTGAAATAACGATATTTCGGATCGTTGGAGCGACAGTGCGCCACTGTAGCTGTCTTTTGAAGTCGGACCGTTGCCTATTTGTTTTCCTCTTAACGACTCGATGCACGCGTATATTTGACAAAGAGGCCTTGCTCCTAGGTTTATCACCTGAAATGCAACTGCGGAAGACCCAGAGTTGTTGGAACGTCATCAATTGTCAACTTATCCGAAGATAATGTGGAACTAACAGTTCATATCAATCACCAGGACTCGGTCAACTGCGACTTCGTTTTTTGGAGCAGACACGAGCAAAGCTTAAGTTGAACAGCTCGTCAACTAGATTATGGGCTCTGGTACCAATTTACACGAGTTAGATCAAACCTTGTTATGTTTTCGCCTTCAATCGTCGTTACTAAGTCCAGTGTATAAAAGCACGGGTATACATCAGCCTACCCAATTGAATGTGGTGATTTCGAGTTTTGTCCACTCGAGTTCACAGTTCTATGACTCTTACAGCGATATTTACCGTTGATTGTCTTCCATTTCAGCCCCCAAACTTACGCCTGGCAAGGTGGAGCCCTTCTGGCGTCGACACCATCGGAATACAATCAGTACCTCGTCACTCGTAAAGACTACGAGGAGAATGGTCATGCATATTGCGAGTCCAGATTCCCTGTAACATAGATGCCCCTATTGCCCTTCCACGTGTACAAGTGTGGCTCTACTGGGTCGTGTCACATACACCTTATTTTTATGATATTATTGACTAGCTTTTGATTACATCAGGCTGCAATCGCAAATCGATTTCTCTTAATTGAGGAAATCTCAGCTGAATCAGACGTGCGCATATTCACCCAGGTGTTCCATAATTCGAATGGTCCCGTGTCAGCACACCAAAACCTTCCGCATATTGCTGAACAAATAATTCCGCGGATATGTGTGACGGATCTAGCTCCCATCGATCGCTCCAACTCTACAAGCTAGTGCGCACAATCTTGTGGTCCCAGTGGTTTACGACGATCGGACAAATTCGTTGCAGCTCGTGCTTTTGACAGCCAACCCAACCGGTGGCGTTATGTTATTACCTACTAGATCCCCATGCCCGTCCTTTTCGCCTGTTCAACTGACCACAGCTACGCGGAAGGTCTAAATGCGTAATCGTAGGGACCATTTGGCTTATTCGGTAAAGACAAGTTACAGTAAGGTAAGGTAGAATGGTCAACAAGAATAATAACTCATCTTCTAAGTATCTGCATATTTCGGGTTGCCGTGTTAAAGCAGAAGAGGACAAATGCGAGCACACGCATATTTTAGATGTGCAGAATTGTCTTCAATGTGACAATTAGTGGTGACTACTTTTATTTTTGCGCATGTACGCGTTTGTGGTGTTGGTGGGGGGAGGGGGGGACCAGTGGTAAGGAACGAATGGGTGGGGGAAATTTGTTGGGAATAGAGTTATATATATATAGCATCGGAATTGCACAACATCACAAGTGTGCGATCGTAACTCTGTCTTCATCTCTTTTATACACACGCGTGCTCACGCATGCACGCACACGATTACGCACACACACACACGCCACACATACAAAGGGAGGTTGGTAACTGGACGAAGACAGGTTGTAACGCTGCCTCGGTAGCAACAAGAACAGAAGTGGGTTGCGGCAGGAACTGGGAAAGGGATCAGGTACGTAAGATTCTGATGGTTGGTATCTCCGGATAACGCATGCACTATACACGGGATGGGGAAGAGGTCTGTTTTGACAGTATATTGCACATTGGGTGACGACGAACTACACCAAAATATAATGTACACGAAGACGCAGTGAGGACCTTCTCTCAGTACTGGGGCTTTCAAAAAAGATACCGATTCCGGCCGTAGTCGTAGGGGACCCGGTCGTAGGGTGAATCGGTTTCTTGCTGCTGCTGCTGCTGCTGCTGTAATTGTTGCTGCTGCTGCTGCTGCTGTAATTGTTGCTGCTGGTAGTGGTAGCTGTAGGCAGCGGCTGCGACGGCAGCAGCGGTCATTGAAGCGTTGTTCTGGTAGGAATTGCGATAGTTTTGGTCGTACATGCCAAGAGGCGGGGGGAGAGGGGCGCTGGCACGCTGAGGGTTGTAGTAGGGCAGAGACGGCGTGGAGTCGCCTTCGTCGTAATTGAAGCGGCCACCGTCAGAGACGTAGGCCGAGGTTGGGGCCTGCTGGAAGGAACGACTGCCGGTGGACACCGAGAGGTCCAACTGACCACTTGGCGTCGGCGCTCCAGCATATCCGCCTGCAATGAAAAAAACAGACCCCATGAGCTTAAGTGACGATTGGCCACTTATTAAAACACAGGCTGCTGAACATCCACAAAATTACTTGTCCAATACTGAATTGCCGTATGACAACAAAGACACGGGATTGAATTGGGACCTGAATGTAGTCGTTATTCAATCATCACCTGACCTTACTACTACTTTGGTGACTGTGTCTTTTGCAATGCTAATAATTAGAATTTGTGAAGGTTAAACTGCGCGTCGATATTCCATTTCGGACATAGATTTTAATGCTGCCCTCTACGTACACCCATTTGACCAAAAGGTGGCCATTAGAAAACGCCGAATAGGTGCGAGTAGTCTGTGATGGTCCCTTCTAACTTGCATATATTATAAAAGACGTCCGTACGTAATTTCCCCAAATAAAAACTACGTAGTAATATTACTGTGGAAGACCAATTGTGATTGGCGGATCCCGTATTCTAAGACATTTAACCCTCGTCCATTGGTAATCGTGAAGGTAAAACGAAGGTACTTTTGAAGTGGTTTATGCCCGAGTAATGGAGGGACACCACCTTAACCTTTTGACCGCGTTAAGGTGGTTTCGACATATTTTGGTTAAACACGACAGTCTGTTCGTGGTGTTCACTTGTCAATCATAAATCTCGCTTGTTTTCCTAATGCCGTCTGTGGTCACAGAAACAATTCAGAGGGAATTAATGACATTCAGGAGAAAGCTGCTTTTAGCAGGCCTCAAGTTCCTTTCTCTAACAAGAAATCACTCAAACATCCTCCGTATGATTTGATTGTCACTTGAACGATCAATCCGCGACTGCTGAAATTCATAAGTACTAGGCTAAGTAGCCTGCATGACGAGCCAGATATACCCGAGTAACTTGGCCTCTGAGTGTCGTGATTATTGCCTCATGCATAACTTGACTAACGTATCTGGACGTTGTGCACAAAATCTCCTACAAACAAACCCTGCACCATCGTGATGCGACCACATGTGTGATTGTCAATACCAATCTATACACAAATGGCTAATGCAGAATAGAACAATTCCGGTGACATTCTGTTAACACACCAATCAAAGTTATGCGTGCCGCTTTCTGTTGGTAGTGTATATTTCTACCATTTAAGCAGAAATAGAGGGTAATGGCGAAGCGAGTAGGCTTGCCAAAATCCACTGTTCACCACGACATCTCAGCTCCAGTTAACGCTTTTTTTAAACACCAAAAGCGAGCAAATGTCAATACCTATCTGTTGCTTAACCCCCCCCCCACTCCACCCCTGGCAGCATCCCGTGTACTTAAAAAAGACCCGTGCATACTTCCCGTGCTGTGTGAGGGGCTAGAGGGAAAGGAGGCAAAAAGTGGCAATTCCGTCCATGAGATGTGGACACGTCTTCCGTTCTCCGAAAACATCGCCGCACCGCTACATGTGGTTACCAGGACTGGCGTACTTTCCAGGAAGGGACACAAGAAGGAGGTGGTTGCTGAGCTGGCTTATGACCAACTCACTGGCCTACCGCGTCCGTCGCTTCTGTCACTCTCGACACAACGCTGCTCAAAGATGTTTTGTCAGTGACACTTCGAGACATTGCGTCAGACTGAATTGAAATTGATGTACCCGACAAGAACGTCTTGGTTTATTGTCTCGCTCGAGTCAAATTCTTGAAATACCGTTGTAAAACGGAACTATCTTGGTGGTCCGGCAATCACCAAAAGCTGGCCAATCAACGCTGAATAGTGCCTTCATTGTAAGCGCCGTTGAAGCAACTCGTTATGGAGATTCTGCAATGCCCCTACCACTCGCGTGAGCAATTCCCCAATTCACGCATCGTTAAAAAATGAAATAATTGAGGACTTATCACAATAGGAACCAAAACTAGACAAATGGCAGATTGTTGAGAGTTAGGCTCAGATCAATACCTACACAAGGACATCCTTACTATTCGTCAGAAAACATGAAAGCCAATGAGATAACTTAACCACCGGTGGGAAACAGCCCTCAAGCTCGCGCATCGACCTGCAATTCTTTGCTGAATTGCATTTAAGAAGTGCTTTTGGGCCCATGGTAAATGCGAATGAACTATCGACCTGTAATAGGACAAGCCAAGCGAACCACGTCCAAAATGATCTGTTTGGTTGGATCACTACTTTCAATTGCCTAGTTTGAAAGCAGCTATCAGAATGACAGCAGCGGAGACCACAAACTAATCGTGGATTGGGTCCCATCGTGGTAATTCACGCCGACAAACTTCAATTGACGCTAGTAGAAGGGATGCAGGATGAAGTGTTTCGGTTCATTTTGGATGTTCTCCCGGTCCAGCACATTCTACTGTTCACCATCTTGGTCTTTTCGAAATTCCCTAAGGTGTGTGGACTTTAAAGTGTAATCACTAGTTGCAGTGGTAATCAACGAAAAATGCAGATATTGAAGACCCAGGTCCTCTCGTACTATTGAATATTTTCACGCACAGCTAGTACCAAAAAAACAAACTGTGAAACATTCCAAGGAATGGAACCGATTTGACTGTTTCCCCAAAGCCTGCTTGAGACTTAGGGATGTCGCTAACCGAGGTGGTACAAAAACTAATACGGTAGCTTCTATTTCCTACCCTGGCGTCACGCGAGGCTTTGATTGCCATCCGGGCAACATGAACCAACAGAGCGACGGACTGGGCTCGAATGCGGTGCGAGGGTTTAACCATCGGCCGCACTAATTTGAGATCTCAACGGAAGTGGGTATATTGGGAGCGAATCCTTGGGATTTTCACGAAAAAAACCACTACGACGGGTTTTGACCAAAGCTCAGGGAATCGGAGTGCATTTCGCCTACCTACTTACTTCTCATTCTGAACGACAAATGCTGAAATTACCCCGTTTTTTTTTATAAAAAGTGTGGCGACAGCAAGCGAAAGTAGAATGTGAGCGATGAGTAACTTAGGGTAAGTGGAATAGCACGTATTCCTTTCCACAACAAAGTGGTAAACCACCAATCGCTTTACAGGTTCCTTTTTACTTTAACAAATAATCCGTCGAGTTTTGAGCTCTGCACAGCTGCGCCCAAAGACCAGAAATGTGTGTGTGTGTTTGTGCGTGGCAAGCAATTCAACACTGCGATTTATTTGGTTGCTGTTGCTTCAGGCGACTGGGGTAGGAGACGAATCCCACACTGGAAGTGTGGGACACCCGCCACCAGTTGTGGTCCTTGATCGACGATGGCGGCGGCGGCGGCGACGCGTAACTCCCACTTCCCCCCTCCCCCTCCCGTCCACACGCTCGCATGAATGATTTATCTCCCGCTCTGCTTCTGCAGAAGATAGACTAGCCACACACACGCACGCGCGCGCGCGCGTGCACACACATGAGCGCACACAAACCTCCACGCATTCACCAGACTATCTACCACACCCATTCCTCGAGCGGCGCGTTAGCCAGAGAGCCTGCAGCTCACCTGTCCGTCTATCTCTCCAAACCAGCTGGTCTGAGAGCGCGCGCGCGCACACACACACGCACCGCACAAAGTGGGGCGGACAGGCGACACCAGCTCAAACAGTTGCGCGTGCGTCGTGCGGCCAACATCCGGTGTGTGTGTGTGTGTGCGTGTGTGTGCGAGCGTCTGTGTGTGAGTGCTTGTGTGTGTGTGTGTGTGTGTGTGTGCATAGCTGTCGCGTTGCCACACACGCGCACAAAACACGCAAATACGGCGACGGAAAGTCGACGTACGCACAAAGCAGTGGTGGGATGGCCTGGTAGACGAAGAGGAGGCATGCCGATGCAAAACACGTGACGTTGGCCTTGCCCAAGCACCGATTCCGGGCGTGTGTGTGTGTGTGTAGGTTTGTTCACGTGCAGTCGGTTGGGCTACAAGTCGACGCTTTGTCTAACCGCTTAGTTCAGTCAAAAGGCTAAAGGGGCGTTGGCAAAGCCTCACCACAACCTCTAGTGGGGTTCGTGCCCACTAATTTCTGGCTAGAACCCTCAACAACCTTGCCGACGATTTGGCACAACCCCAGGCGTTGCATAAATGTATCAACGAACATTTGCAGTTGGCGATACCTGTAGATCTGCTGCTAATGACCGATCTGGAACTGCGTCGTTTTGCAGCGTCCTTTCCCGCGGCCACAACACGCCATGGTAACACAAACCACTCGTCCCCTGTCAGATGGCGTGAATAAGTGAACGTTCATGATCTGTGGGGTTATCCTCAGTGTCGATAGACAGTTGGACGACGTTGTATTAGGGAGGAGGTTTCAAAACCAACGCTCTCATCTGATCGCGGACAATGCTACTGACAGCAATATAAGTAAGCCTAAAAAGTAGCACGACGTATTCGAGATCAATGATTACTCGAATTGCTGGCGTAAAGAATAACACATAACATGGAGTATTAAGAAAATCTGATACAAGTCAAGCTGGAATACTCGAAAACGCTGCACAATCTGGATATTTATTTTGTCATCCAGGTGTTAACAGAGACGCACAAACAGTGGTGGAATTGTGTACCGGCAATTTCACCCACTCTATGTGCTTAAAACATGTTCAGCCAACTAAGCCCGTGCCGAATAACAGTCATATTAAACGATTTTCACTAAGATAATTTAACCTACCACCACCACCGCCGCCGCCGCCACCCAGACCCTGGGAGTAGGCGGCGTTAAAAGCGGCGTCGGAGAGGAGCTGGCGGGTCGTGGCAGCGTGGGCCTGAAGCTGCTGGTAGTAATCCCCGTTGGCACCGTAGGGAGTGCCGGCGGCGGTGGCGGCGGGGGCAGCGTTTGAGCAGACGGCGAGACCGCGTCCAAAGAGCCCACCACCACCACCTCCACCCACGTCGTCCTCTGCGGATACGCCTCTTTGAGACGTCGCACTGTAGGCTGCTTGCCGATGCGTAAGAGCAGTAGGATACAGCGGGGAATCATTGGGGGGCTAAAAGTATGACAAACAGCTATAATAGCATCATACTCTTACACCTGGACTGTTCATTCAATGGACTGTCTCGTTAATTTAGCATTGACGGCAAAATATGCTACTCAAATCGATTACTAGTTGTGAGATACACGGTCTAAAAACACTACTCTCAAAGAACACTTAGATTCAGGCTTTATCACTCTTGAGGTGAAATATTCGTGGGTAAATGTTGACCACGGTGCCAGGAATGTTCTTTGGAGTGGAGTAGGAGTAACGGTAGTTTGTGAAGGAGCGCGTGCTTGCAATTGGCACAGATCAGGAAATGTATTAGTCGTGAGAAGGTGAGCTGGGGTGTGCGCGAGTGTGTGTGTACGTGTGTGTACGTGAGAGTAACGAAGACGGTGATGAGCGAATCCACTACACGACAACGACGGCCTACCACCGCCAGGGCAACAACAACAATGTGCTGCTTCAGCTGCCGATGCAGACAAAACTTGGCAGCCAATCAATCAATCAATCCCGAACGCTGGGGAGGAGGCAGTTGGGGTGGGCGGGGGCAGGGAGGAAGGCAGTGGGCTGGAGATGATCCCTGGTAAGAGAAGGGTGGGAGGGGGTGGATTGGGCAAGCACACAGCGCGCCTCACAGAAAAGTGACAGGTAGTCAGCAGGCTCGCGTGCGGATGAATGACAGTAACAACTTCGAAAGGAAGGCATCGCGTGAAAACAGCTACCCAACTGGGACGTTGCTGCTGCACTCGTTGGGTATAACGCGGCACGCACACAGTGCCAGTTCGACGTGTGCGCGCTACAAGGAGTCGAAACCCTTCGGCTTTCCGCTCCACGCAGGCGGCAAACTGGAAGGTTGCATCACTCTTCGTGAGAATTACGCCACTGCAAGTCGGTCGACTAAGCGTTGACTTAAAATGGCGAGTGATGCGAGAAGGACCAGAACTTGCTCTACCACATAATTCAATCGAAAGGCCTAGCTGTTCGACACCCCTCTTTTGCTTAAAAGATAGTTTTAAAGAAAATCGAGGGGGTCTTTTGTGTTAGACAAAAAACCCCAGTCCGATTGTGTTGCCTTCGTTTCAGTAGCAAACAGAGACGAGGGAAGCAGCCAAAATGCACCAGGTATGCAAGCTCTCCGCGAAGTGCGAGCAATCGTTACGCAAATAACCACGACGGGTGATGCACCAGTCGACATGAGCTCAGTATTTCTAAAAAGCCACAGCCGATAAGCGTGCCATCGTATGCTTCCTTCGACGATCATACTATCATGTTTCAAGCAGTAATTGTGGTTGAAATTCAACAAAAAGGCAATTTCCTGGGAGCCTACACAGCCTTACGGCAAGAGTTAGGAAGTTCCGGATAAAGTGAACGCGATTAGAAAACCCGGGTTGTGTGGGAAAATGTACCTAGATGTAGAAACAAATTTTCAGCTTATGCCACCTCCATAGACCCGGCCCTAGGCACTCAACATACCACAACGGGACTCAGGTCGGAGTTTGCGTTGTTCTTTTTAGATCACATGTGTGGATGAACAAGGTGTGTTCGCCACTTCTTTGCTAGATGTGAGCAACGAGTCGACTTCATTGGGGCTGATTCAGCACACACACCACCTTGGAGACCCAATGTGGACTTAACTGCACATCTAGCGCGATCGCTACCATATTTAAAACATCACGACTTCTTACAAGGAAAAGCAAAGCTCTGGAAGTATTCTAGGTTGGATTTATTTTTTTGTTAAGAGGGCTGACAATGGCCGAAAACCCGTAGAGAAGGCGGGGAGGAGGAGCGAGATTTAGATGAGTGACACTGATGATTGACACGGCGCTAGGTGTGCCTGCCCAGCCCCTTAAGGCGAGGCAGCACGCACCGGCTCCACACAACCCGCTCAACTGCATCACACACACGCACACGTGCCTTCCAGTAAAAATATCAGACGCCAATCATTGGGCACACAAGCACGAAAGCCTGCGTAGCCAGGGCGCGAGAGGCGACTTGGATGGCAAGGCAGTGGGACGTGCCTGGGTCACAGACACCTGACCGATCTCAAAGCGGGGCAAATGCATCCAAGTGTGTTGAGGTGAAACGGCGGTGGAAATTTGAGAACGGAGGGGGACTTGAGACCCGTAACGAGGCCTCACGCGTTCGGACATGAACTTTAGCAATGCAACAGTCACGAGTTCCATCAGCATGAAAGGAGGGAGTTCAGGCCAAGGTACAGTGCAATGTGTTTAGGTTTAAAGAAATGCGGGCAGGCAAATTTCACGAAACTTGGATTGGCTTTAGGATTTAGAGAAGAGCGTGAATTGATGAAGTTGGACACTTCAGCGGTCAGGACCGAAGTGGTTTCCGCCTTTAACAAATGCGCGCGTGTACCGAAAGCTCACCGACTACATGGTCCGACATGCACTGCCGCACGCCTCAACCCACCTAACGTGAAATCACTCTTAGAAAGTGAATGCCGAGTCGCCTGAGCAACTGAATAAATCGATACGGCGGCCAGGACACGATCGAGATATCGATTACCCATTGAACGACACAAGCGCGTTCGGTCGACTCATCAATAAATTCGACAGGCTGTGGCAGTGTGTGGTCACGGGGTTGTGCTCGCGTTGGGAGGAGCGGACGGACAGGCGAGAGAGAAGCCACACTGGCTCTGCCCGTTCGGCTAAAAACTGCGTGCCAATGCACAGGCCACCCAAGTGGAACAGGATGTTGCACACACACACACACACACACACGCACGCACGCACACACGCACAGAGGCAGCTGCAAGCGAAGCGCGCACGGACGCATGGAAGTTGGTGGGCGTTCGTGTGCGTTAGCAGAGCCTAGATGGTGGGTAGGTGGGTGGTCAAGGGGAGGTGAGAGAAGGGGGCGGGAGTGGGGAGAGAACGGGCGAACTACGACGAAGAGAAGAAAAGGTCGATGGTGCGCGTTGATTGGCTCACCTCCACCGGTTGGGCGTGAGCGAGAGGGCAAGAGGAAAGAAAAATCGACGGTGACTACGGTGCTGTTGCTTGCGACGTGGCAATGAATGGGCCGTCCACGGATGTGCCACCTTCGTATTCGATCGCGAAAGCCACCTTTATGATGCTTCATCATAGGACAAAGGTTTCTCGAAGACTCGGGCGGGCATAGCGTTGAACTGAGTTTAAGAAGCGTGAAACAGAACAAACCACCTGAATGACATGCATTTTGACGAACAATTGCCCCTAAACGACTTCCATTGTTGACGGAGCGTTAATTATTTGCAAATGCCTCATTGACACGGATCAACTACGACTGAGGCTATGATTTTCGTGGATGAAACGCTTGCCTGTCCACCTGAATAAAGGTCGTTTCAACGCCTTTGCATTGACAAGCGGACCGAGTGTACATACCACTGCAGAAACATTGGCTAATTTTCGGTTGTTCGGCTGTTCATTTCAATATAATGAGCGTTTAACGAAGAACAATCAGTTGCCGGAGCAGGCATTCAACAGTAGACTAATATAATTACGCGTGGCACAATTGGGCACAAATGAAGCATCACTCTACGTTCCACACACTGCGATGACGAGTAGTGCGTACGAAGACGGCTTGTTTCCGCCTGGTGCAGTGGAGGGAATGTCTGAAAATGAAGGCGCGACCAACAGACAAACAACGGAACACGTGGGAGCGAAAAAGTCGGCCGAATTGAGAGCTCACAACAACACCGCCATCACCACCACCACCACCCCTGCTCGCCACAACTCGCCCAACGCAAAATCAGCAGGCAACGGCGCCGAGTTCGGGAAAAAAACATCGACCAGCCAGGCATGACTCAGCACGACGGCGTTGTCTGCACACACACACACACAAGCCGCCTTCTCTCGCTCTCTCCACACGCGCGCTTCCGTCCTCTCACGTCGCACCCCAAAGCGCAAAAAACCTCGCGTTCTTTGCCCTTACCGTTTAGCGTATTTGTGGGGTTGTTGGCATGGCCAGAATTGCCTGCTTGAGCAGACGGAGCAATAATCGTCGTCTTGCCTGTTTTCGGAAATACAGGGTTATGCGGCAGCCAGATCACACGATGGACCTGGCTGTTTATGAAAGAACAACACCTGGGAATTATGCAATTTCGCAGCCGTAAAAATGATATCAGATCAACCCAAAATCGCGTGGGATATGAAGGCGATCTCTGTGACTAGAAGGGAGAGTTTCCATCTGGGTGTTCGCAGATGATTGCCTAGCCTAGAGCACGGCGCGCCGCGAACATCATTTCAGTCGTTATGTAAACTCGTGGATTGCGGATTTTGCAGTTCATTATTAGGGTGCAATTGACGCGTATTCAGTTGAAAAGCCCTTCCTGTTATAATCTGCTCGTACATGCGTTGGGTCCATAATTGGAGATTGCATTCTCCCATTGGTTGACTTAATTGCGAAATCGGAGTCGTTTTAGCCTCACTAACCAGGGTTACATTGACTCCGCTAGTTTAAACGTGACACATGACAATGTAGGTCGCCGTGATCTTACAGAGCGGCAGTCGGAGACTGGTGAGTCACGCAGCCACTTAAATTGGTGTCTGCACGTCATTTGAGACACCGAACGTAGGACCAGTTGGGTGGCGTTACAGGCTGAAGGCCTTCAGGACCAAATCATGGGACCAGAAATCAACAATTCTATGGAGAGAAGTGCGGGACCAGAGGCTCGATTCAATTTATTATTTTTTTTGTTATTGCTTGCAACGACAGCTGGCTGGATGCTTGATTAGGGCTACGCGCGGACCAGCAAACAGGTAATAGGGCGAGAACAAAACTGGCAAATTGACAGAAATCATAGGCTACTGAGAAAGCAATGAAACTTCCAACAGAATTCCACTTTGTGCTAGTGAGAACAAGGTAGTGGACCGCAGAAGCACCTCTTTGACTCATTGCATTGAGTAGAAATCCTCCGGCAGACGAATTAGTGGAAACGATTTTGTTTTTCAACTTTAAACTACCAGTTTAATGGGTTAATTAACTCACAACTATCAATTGGCACGGATGGTATTCGAGTTAAAATATACTGGAATCCCAGATCTCGGAATGTGGGGTGCATTAGTGAGTTTTGCGAGTATGCGCCGAATAAAAGCGATGCATTTTTCCACTCGACGAGATAAAGCATGAAATGTAGGTGATGTGAACACAGTGGTGGGCGGTGTTGTAGGTTTCGAGAAGCTTAACCGAACGCAGGAACGGGCAGACCCATGGCAAGAACAACAGAAACGCGCGTTGAAGGTCGCGTGGGCAAGCCCCACGGCAGACCCTCCCTCCCACCCACCCACACGCAAACACAAGGTGGAATTAGAGCGCACGCTCGGCCACGTGCGCGTGCGAGATTGCACGGCAGAGATTGCGTTGGAACGGCTGCTGGCAGAGGGGACAGAGAGGATGGGTTGGGATGGGAGGGGAGGTGGGCGGGGGGGTTGGGTTGGTCGCAGATGCCAGTTCGCCGAACACCTGTGTGTGCCGTTTCGCCCCACCATCGTCATTTCCTGCTGCTGATGCAGCAGCAGCACACCGCCCCACCACCAACCTGTCAACGCGTAGCGGTCACTCCACCGCCTCCGCCACCACACCGCCAACACCCCAGCCACCACCCGTGTCCACCTCGGACGAGCAGGCGCGCTAATGAGAGCAGAAGGGGGGGGGGCGCGCGCGCAGACAAACACGGCCTGACTACAAACACAGCTGGGAGCACACGCACACACAGCGGAGCGCATAAAATCTGTCGCCCTGTGACGGCAGTTTTTTTGCCTGCTTTAAACCGAGCTCAATTTAGGGTGTGCGCTGTGCATAGGCGGCTGACGACGACGGCGACGACGACATGGTTAATTGCGAGAAGGCGCAGCAAATTATCGTGTGGACGAGCATTGTTCTTTTTTGACACGCACCTTTGAGTTACTTGTATCCCTCGTACCGTCTTCGTTCGTGACCATCCACTCGTCGATATTCCTTCCTACCGCCACCACCGATACGTGGTCAATAGTTACGCAAGAAATCGGAATCCGTTCACGATTTTGCAAAGTAGCAGAGATTTGTTAGGAGGTGCTTCGTCTGATTTGGCATAACGACGATCTTCTCCCCGGTCAAAATAGCCTAACTTGGCTAACAAAACCGGCAGACGCAGTCAGAAGACATCATATCAGGCTGGTAGATATAGTGTTCGCTTCAGCGACAGAAAAGCCACCGGAGACACTAAACCACTTTAACCGCTGTGGCAGCTGCTGAAAGTGGTCACTTTTGTCCTCAAACCACGTCCCCACCCCCGGTAATGAAGTTGAGGAGTTACCGTGGCAATTTGTCCCACCGCTCCAGTAACTGTGTGCTGCTTCAGGAGTGTAAGATGACTCGACAAGCACTCGGCAAAACCGCGGTGAGCTGAGTCAGACGACTTAATTTCTGTCCGCCTTCGCCACAGCCCACTCACGCTTCGTTTATGACTTAGCGAAGGGCGGAAGTGGAGGATGGGGGAATTCAATAAAGCTTCCAGAATTCGCAGAAAAATTACGAATAAAAGTGATTGAGCCGGCTCCGATTCTTTCTGGTAAATACTACACAAATATGGGTCTGCTTTAGACCCACACCAACAGTAGGCTTTCCTAACATCCAACGGAATTACAGTGCATCCTTTAGTTACTGCATGGAAGGTAATGAAACTAGTGATACCAATGCGAGATTGAAAGCTGAAATCACGGCTTGAGCAAATGAAAATTGAATCGATAGGTGGGGCGGGAGGTGCATCCACGTTGAGCAGCGGTGTCGCGGACAGAGCTGTGCCAGGCCTGCCGGTGGAACGGAATGCTGTCGCGATAACAGCAGCTGATGCTGTGATTGCACACAACCGTCGTGCGTTGGTGTGACCCAGATAACAGGCAAGCCCCGTTCTCGGGCTCGTGCGGACGCGCCACCAGCGCACAGGCCCGTGTGCGCGTTGTCCCCGAGATTGTATCATCCACACAAACGCGAATGTCCGCACTTGTCCCAAAGGCAGAACACACACACACATACACCAAGCACGCACGCGCACCCACACCCACACGTGGTGCGAGCATGCTGGGCCTTGTCGAAAGTCGACGTCGACGTTCGCAACCCGCGAAACTAGAAACGCCTGTGTGTTAACATGGCAAATGAAGTCGTACACTGATACTACAGACATAAACCAGGCGGATATTAGACAGATCTTGCAGGTATTGGAGGTGGACATAATCAAGTTGGCCGCTCAAACTGATGCCGTTGTTTCGCTCACATCGGCGCGGCACGCCAGCCCAAGCCTAAGTCCAATATCGATCCACGTAAACCCCCAGGGTGTAGCTTCAGATCGATAGACAACGACTTTTCTGCTCGCAAACAAAGCGCAGGTGTGTCAACGGCGGTGCGTCAGGCACACACTTTTAGTGCCAGTGGCTGATTCGTTTGCAGTGGAAACTCGACGAATGTCAACGGCGGTAATGATCAAGAGAACCGTGGAAGCTACACAGTCAATACGCGTAGATTAGGCTCGTTTATTACGATTTTTACCCAGCACAAGCTGCTGTTCATCCCGAACTGTTGGTGTTGTTGAAATAACGTTCATCAGATATTTGCTTAGTGGAATGCCGAGCATTGGAATGAAGCCCTTCTGAGAAAGAACAGTTAAAAAGGCACTCAAAGTGGCCGTAAAATTAGCTTGTGGAGTATTGTGGGTTTGCAGCGTTCCAAAGAATGACAGATTTATTGCAGCAAACGTGCAGTTCTCCCTTAAATTTTAAAACACAACCATGCTGAATGTTCTGGTGGATTTAGGAATGCTGGCACATGGAGACAATGAAATGGGTGACTAAGAGGCCTCAGTCCAGTTCAGTCTAACAAATCCGAAGTCCCAGACCAAATTGAGGTGGTAAACGTTATTGCCTTTAATTATCCACGAAGGAGCAAAAGAATATTAGGATTTACAGGAGGCCACGTGGGCGTTTCAAAGGTGGCCCGGGTAAATAGTGCATTTCCAGGACTTAACCGCTGCGAACACGGCTGCCAGCATAGTTCAATGGGTAGGTTTAAACCAAAACTCGACAATGACACCGTCAGTTGGCGATCTGACTATTAAATGGATTCAAATTGAAAGTAAATTACACACAAATAGAGAGAGCATTCACACTGGTGTTTGGTACGATGCGAATCCAGTTAATTATGCGACATGGGTCAATGCCGGGGTCAAGTGAATGCCTATCGACGGTCATTTTGTGCATGTGATTTTAATCGATCACCGCAGCAGCACATGGCGGCTGTTCTGAGGCCAGCCGCGTTCCCGCCGCCAATTGAACAATGTAACCTTTGCGCACACGCATCTATGCGCAAAGCATCCTCACACGAACGCACACACACACACACACTTGCGCACACCACATGTCCTGCAAAGAGGATGGAACACGCACACCACACACACACACACACACACACACACATCAAGATCGAAACCACGCACCACCCACGTGCAAAAGCACCAAGGTCACGGCGCACGACTTGCTCAGGTGAGGTGGAAAGCAAATGTCACGCATGAGTCACGTGACTACCCGCCAACAACGTGGACGTGGACCGATTTAGACGGAGAGGGGACGACTTCAGTCGGTGGACCGCATAAGATCCCCATTTCTGGGCAAATTCAGCTACCTGTCGGGGCACAACACAACACAAACCTATGCGTTTTGGTTCCTGAAACACCGTGAGAGCCGTCGATCGGGGAGTTCAGTGACCAGCGTGTGAGCGGCTTCGATGACAACACAACAGTACTCTATGGTTCAGCTGAAATCCAAGAGCTCTACAGAAACATAGACTCAAAGAAACGGGAAATAGAGGGCCTCACAAAATACTCGCTTAAAATTAGATCAATCCGGCAGCGAGGAAATACAGACAGGCGAATTCAACAGTGCTGATTCACGGTCCTTTTGAACCAGGACTTTGTCCGCAGGCGCGGTGCGATAGAGCAAGTAGGCTTAAGCAAAGTGGGGCGAAATAACTCAAGCGCCGTCGGCGTACATTTCCCCGAAAGTGGGCACACACACACACACAAGCACGTGTCAGACGTCAGGGCGCAAAAAGGGCCGTGGTTTTTGCGCCAAGCGCAGGCATGCCTCCGCCTCGTGGCTCACGACTTTCCTCCCCTTCTCCGCTGCCTTCCAAGGCCCAGCCGCGTCAGCCCTACAGCCGCCGCCGACGCCGCCACCACCGCCAGTTTTTCCCTCTCGCCTCTCGGTATAAGCCATTGTAGTAGCGGCGGTAGCAGCCTCATAAATTATCGCATCAAGCGACGCACCCACACCCACACACACACACACAGTGCAAATCATGACACTTCTGTGTTGGCGCAGAGGCGCGTGCGCGCCCACAAGTGCCTGCGACATACCGTGGTTTCGTGCCTGCGTAACACGCACGGGCATGCGCTCAGCCTGCTTGCTTTTTTCTCGCGTCACTCCTTCTTGTTCACCTCTCTCTCTCTCTTTGCTTCTCTCGGGAGCGCATCCGAGCCCAATTCATCATGTGGCCGAGTGCAACACAAGCAAGCACGCAGGGGGTTCAGCTGCTAGGAGCGGCGATAGCAATACCGAGGGCAACGGAAGAAGACGAAGTATAAGAAGCACGCGTAGAAGAGTGGGTCTGATGTCTTATGACGGAGGGAGGGAGATTGCGAGAGCGAAAGGGCGTGTGTGTGTGTGCGTGTGTGTGTTTGGAAAAACTGAACGCTGTTGGTGCTACTGTTGCTGCCTTAACTCTCTCATGATTAATGGGCACGTGCGTTCGTTCGTGCGTTCAGGCGGGGCGAAGCAGTGAGAGAAAGGCAAAGACAATCCCAGTACCCGCGCTCATCTTCCACACCGCGTCTACACCTTTGGTGGGTGTGTGCATGTGAGTGTGTGTGTGTGTGCGTGACGATTTACTTGTGCCGATATGTGACATGTTTTCACGCACCAGTGAGTTTCATGCTGAAACGACGCTGTAAGCCCAACGCATATGCAACTCATTTCTCTGGGGTTTTGCAACGAGTAAGTGCTTTCAAAAACACGCGTCCTATGTGAGTTTTCAAAGATAAACCGAGGTGAAAATCCTAGCGAGAGACTGTCTAGAGGCTTCGGATTAATAACAAAGATTCACCTGAACATTTACGTCTGAAGTAGCTAAAATTCTACTCGTGTTTGCTTGAGGAATACGCTCGGCAACTATGCCAAACTTTACCATCCATAAAGATTGAAAGTTCGACTCAACTCCGAGTAGCTTTGTTCGATTCACATGATTCCGCAATGTTATAAGCACTTTGAGGTTTTGTGAAAACAAAAAAGGCTGGACAGAAGTGGGGAGGCTGCAGTGTGGCGTTCATACTCTTGTCATTCGCTCGATAATGACAGACTTCCGTTTGGTTTTACCTCGTGGTCAACTAGCAGTGAGTAGTGTGAAACAACTGTCACCGCATCTGCTACGCACCTTACCACAAGAAGTACAGGCCAGAATTTCCACTGCTAGCACAACGAAGGCATTCAGGATTTAACAATATTGTTGAAAACGATCAAGACAAGCGAGGCGTTGTAAGACGACTACTACAAGGCGCGCGATTCAATTCCCACGGTCTAGGGAGAAGCCAGGCCTAGGAGTCTGAGATTGGCCCACGCAAACAAGGCGTTAGCGAGCGGCATTCAAATTCAAATACACACCCGAAGGTGAGCTGTACAGCGTGGCAAATGAAGCATAACCGAAGGCGGGTTTTAAGAACTCTTGGAGCTGGTGACACGTGAGTCACGAACACCACCCAGATGTGCAGGTGTGCGTGTGTGTGTGTGTGTGCAGGTGTGCGCAATGTGCCAGCATAAGTTGTTTGCGCAAAGCACCACACCACCGACACAACCAAGGCCACAAACAGGGGTTAAGCGTGAGCAGACAAACACGGCTTGGGTTATCTCCCAAAATAATTAATAAACAAAAGGCATTTCGCCATCGCGTAACCCAGGGAGCTTGCGTTTCGAGGAGAGCTCAACCGATCCTGAAACTAACGATCCCAAGCCATTGGTAGGTGTGGCTCCCACAAGATCGAAACAACTGTTTCCGCTTATATCGAGTTCACCTTCATGTCATGGAAAGCTGAAACGCGGTTAGTTTTGCTGGACCATGACGCAAAGCATGGTACATTACTTAAACGCCTGCGACACGCATTAGAAACAGAAGCACACAAAATTACGCCGGCTGAAATATTTTGCGTCAACTGACAGTTTGGACTGTGATTGTTTCTTTTTACAATACATAAATGCATGTCGTTGAAGCCTCAAAAATACATGCTTATAGGAAAAGGCTCTGTTCTGCCAACCTTATCACCTCCTGGGAAGGCGAACAGCAGGGAAAATAAAGACTGTGACTTCGAAGCTTACATGGCTGTCGGTTCCATCATGTGGGATGTTGCCGCCACGGGACTGGGGAGAGAGGGCGGAGGAGCGGTCCTTGAAGGAGTTCGGCCGAAAACCGGCGGCTCCAGAAAACTGAAGAAACGCGTCCGACTTTGCGTCGCCAGCTGGAAGGAAAGCCAAATACAAATACACATGGACAAACAGCGAGACTCCAATACAAGACAGCCTCACATTGGGTATAGGAGGACATTCGTCTAGCCTAAATGCCAGTTTCCTGAACACCTACACCATCACAGCCGCCGCCATCACAATTATCAGACGGTGGAGGAGCTTCATAGCACAAGAGAAGCTTAATCGGAAACATTAGCCCGAGGAGGCTTATGCTAATCGGTCGAAGGCAATGCGTCAGTGCAAACGTTCCCCTCGTACATAACACACAGATGCTTAAAATTACGTTCGGCAAAGCGTTCAAGCGTCACAATTCCCAAGTTTTCTAAGCGGGCCTGCTTAATTGCGTATATTTTTTTGCTTCTCAGCACGACATGTGCCAGTGAAGCGACAAACCTACGCCCTTGGCGAATAAGCCATTCACCTCAAAGACATACACACCACTGGGGCGGAACCGCGAGTACTTCGTAGAATTAAAACCGAATTACCATTCACCCAGCAATAGAGGCGTTAGATAGTAAAAGAGAGTCAAAGCTAATAGTGGGGTATTTCGGGGTTTTGTACGATCGAGTGTGGACCCGATTCGGTGAGATGCGACCTCCGTTTGAATAGAAAAGGTTATTTGAAAAGAGACAGGAGTGAAATAATTTCCTACATTTTCTCCACACAGACCACAACTACGACTAGAGTCCACATTGACTTTGATTTGCCTGTGCATTAGAAAAACCTCCCGGAACCTCACCGAGTCTGAATTTCGTAGCCTACACGCAGACTGGGCATGGCCACAACACCGATCATCATGCTCCCAACTAGTTAGGTGACACCGCCACCCCTAATGGCAGATGACCTTAAGCGCATGATGACTCATCGGCCACCGCAGTGAGGAGCTGAAAAACAAGACTACAGCGCGCCAATCACGGGCGCAGAACGTAACGTGAATCAACACACACCCTCAAGCCTCAGGCGATCTACATGGAAAACACACCCTGGAAAAAGGGGAGCAGGTTGTTTGAATGAACAAATACACCAAGAGTGAGCAAAATCCTCGTATATTCACTTTAATGCTTTCAAACGGCCTGGCTGCCAAGTGTTTTGGGTCAGTTGGGGAGACAGGAGTTTGGGCACAGAAATATTGCGTGGTTACAAATGCTCTTGGTTAAGTGAAAGCACGTTTCAGAAGTGTCAAAAAAGTAGAGTGGAAAAATTCACCGCATGACTTGAAAAAGTACCTAAAAATTCTAGAGCTGGGGGCAAAAAAGCGGGTGGGAGCAGTTGATTGGCAATTTCTACGAGTGGATAACCACTAGAATGGTCGAGTGGTTTCCAAAACCGGAATTTTCACGCCTCTGTCACAGCCCAGGCATCGAGTTCAAGCGAAAAAAACGCCTAGAAGTAGCAGTGTACACTGTTCTACAGGGCGTAGACTACACGTCTACTCAAACCATGCCCAATTCGTCGAGTGCAAGTCGGCGACTAGGTGGATGATCGATGGTGGTTGCGTGAAATGACCTGGAAAAGCTCTCGACGTGGATTTGGCGGATTATTTATCCTTTTTCAAATGAACCCCGCTTTGAGTGTGAATTTAAAAACGAACGCACAACGCAACGCGAGGCTTGTTTTCCAGAAGTTACACAAGTGGAAACAACAAGAGATGTTTTTTCGTGACTTTGCTCAGCGAAGATGATAAAAACAGCGCTACCGTGATCACATCCCACGACCCATTCATGGATTACCCTGAAATATGCGGAGCAGTGAAAGCTTTTTCTCCGGTTTGTTTATCACAACTGGTTGATTAATGGAACGCCTCATTGTGCAAGTGTTGAGGTCAATTCCTGGGATAAAGATCCCGTCGAATGACCCACCCGCCTTATCCATTCCCCTACTTTCTGCGTTAAAAACTGTGCAACCACTGTCCAGGACCTGTTGCAACATGCTGTCCGCATCAGTCAGCCGTAAAATTAACATTTATAGGGGTGTTTGTTGCTACCATTGTTTGAGGAGAATTCAAGCCGTGCAAGATCATTAGGTAGTGCGAATGGAAATGGAGTGATAGTTTCACAAACAACGGAGACACGCGAAGCCGGATTCGGGAATTCACCTTACCAAGTCGCTAAGCCACACACCTTGTCAACGGAGGAAGTCTACTAAATTTACACGAGGAAGCTGTTCGCGATTCAAGGCGTTAACGAGAAGGTTGGTGTATCAGTTAGATGGTTGACGAGTACTACGATTCAGTAGTGGTTTGTTTAAAACCGTGGAAAATAAAGGGAGGGGAATTTGAGCGACTGTAGACGCAAAGTTACACAACTTCCGTGGCAGAACAAATAAACGGGCAGGCTATAAAGGGGAGCAGTGTGAGTGACGCGGCGAGTGTAGTCGCCCTATCAATCACCGAGGGCGACGTCGACGTTATTGCCCACTTCCAGCCTCCCACATTCGTGTGTGTGTGTGTGCGCAGGAGCGCGCACTGGCATTATGCGCAGGGAGGGTAAACGATGGAGGGGAGGCGGAGGCGGCCACCGGTAACACTGGAAATCCAAACTTCCCGCCACAAAGTCCCTCAACCAACCTTCGAAAGTCGACCATTACTTCATTCCCTATATCACCAATCACCTGTGCCGTCGCAGCTGAGATCCAGGATTAGAAAACTCAGCGTATTCGGAATCGGATGACAAATCACCGGACGTTTTCCTTGGTGACGGTTAACAATTAAGATAATACATATTTGAAGTGACTTGTAAAACAAGTAAGCTCTAGTAAGATAATGCCACAAAGTGTCACACCCCACACCAGGATCTGCCAACAATTAAAGCTTTCACCTGTGGTCTTTTGTCGTTCCTGCTCTACATAAGACGAAAACGTCGAGGTCTCAATTTAAGAAAAAAAAACGAGTAAAAATGTGCAAATTATATTAGTAGGTCCGAAAAAAGGAACAGACACTGGTCTCTGGACGTAACAAAACCTAGAAACGACGCTGGAAACACAGCCTTAAGGGCATTATAATCTCGATTACGAAATCCTGAAACGGAAGTAATTTGAGCATAGTTGACCAACTGTACACTATAACTGGTGCGGATATTGACGAAAGAAGCCAAATCCAGCAATGCAACAAAACAAGAATACACCATAAATCCTTGTGAAACACCGGTTTAGGTGTTTTCTCCGCAACTCTGCACCATGATAAGTAACCAACCATTCGCGGAGTCAAGAAACGAGGATCAAGACACAAGTGTGTTGTGAATGGAGAAGACGGATGTCAGCGAGGAATATCCGTGACATAAAACACCCGCACATACACAAACCGGTTCCCAGAACACAACGCACACACACACACACGTTGGGTGTTTGTTTGTGACCACCCGGAGAGCGCGTCCGCAGGAGGGTACTGCAGGCCAGCACCTCTGCCCACCCCCCCCCGCCACATCGGTGCAAAGGGTTTGCTTGTCCACGATCAAAAACAACCGATCGCTGTGCGTACACACTCGTGTGCACCGAAATTCGATAATGTAGCATTAATGGTTCACAGGCTCGGTGAGAATCCACACTGCCGACGGAGGGCGCAGCGCCTCACCACTGTGCTGGCGTGGCGGTGCTCTGGGTAAACATGCCGACTTCAGGGCGCGTGAATCAGGGCCTCCTCTCTCGGCAGACGACGACTCCCATCGTAGTCGCCGAAGGCGTGTACGATGATTGCAGGGGAATTCGGCTTGGACCACCCGCATGCGGTCGCCATTAAGTTGATCGTCAAGTTGAACACAGCAAAGCGCACGGACTTGTCCAGGCATTCCGCAGCACCAACTTCCTCGAGGAGAATTTGAGACTTGCACGGGCCCAGTTTTGGCGGGAGTAGACAAGAGAGCAACTTGTTCTTGTATGAAATGGATTTATGGTCGAGACACACGACAACTATGGTTACACTGATACACTCAGTTTTCCCAGGGTAGGCTAAGTGCGCGTTTCTGGAGACGATTAGCATAAAAACAGAATAACACTATGCGCGCTAGCTTGGCAATAGATGTCCGACTCCATCGACCAGAAGCCCTAGGCGGGAGTTAGAGACGAATTAAACAGAAAGACGCTCCACTGGCGGTTGTCGTGGGACCAAAACGTAGTGATAAACCCAATCGGTTTAACCACATGGACGTGCTTGCCTGGTTGTGGTACCAATCACACCGAAGGACACTGCACAAAAATCGACGCATCATCGGCTTAAGGTTTGTGTCTGAGAGCTGAAGAATCAATTGCAACGTAAACTAGAATTTGGGAGATAACAAAGCTGCTCTTATGCTGCTTTCATCTCCACATCTCCGATATGCAAATGTGTCTGCCAAATCAAAGAGCTATGTATACAAATTGCGAGCAAGCATTTTTTTTTCGTAAGGAATGGGAAAAATCAAGATCTTTACGGTCAAAGCAGCCCCTGGGGATGCTAGATCCCAACACTGAACCATCACACCCCGCGTCAGACACCAGAAAGGTCAAACCACGCCACTCTCCAAGCCGATGGTCAGGTGATTTCACTTGTGATAATCACAATTACAGGTCGAGGCGACTGAGAAATCGTTGGACTTTAAAGCAAATCTGTGCTGCGTTTGAGGCGGTGGAAGCCTCCTTGTGAGCCGCTTCCACACACAACAGCCACGTCATCGCAGAAGTGCGGCTCTACTAGAGGACTGCGCTGGTGACACGAAGAACGCCTAGCTAGCACGCTAGCTGAGAGTTGGCGTGTTTGGGGTCCTGAGCCGCAGTTAAATAAACACAAGCACCTGTGGAGACTGGCCCTTCATCGTGCACAAAAGTGTGAATCGTCGAACATGCCTGTCGCTGAAGTCACTTGGGGAGAGCACAACGTCGTGGTAAGGCAGTCCCTTGCAGGTTTTAAACTCGTGCCGCAAGCAATCTAATGGAGCTTTGTAAAAAATTGTGGGAACGAGTCGAATCAGCGCTATTAAAACCGTAAACTTTAAACTAGCCCACGAGACCCCGTTAACTTTAGGTTCTTGCGATTAAACAACGAAAGACTAAGGGAACGTTGGAACCACACAGCATAATGACGCTCCGCGCATAATAGATTAAACAATGTTCGGCCCATATCCGGAAAACGGAACATCGAAGCAGTTGCAGCCCGTATAGATAGCTTTAGATGAACTCGTTTACTGGCTGTAGTCACGCCACTTTAAGCGTGTCCTCATGGTCTGTGATGATCTGCCATAGAAACTTGGTAAAGGACTACCTAGGCTTTATGCATCATGCACACTCAGCAACTTGTACACACCGTGGCCCATGAAGCTGCGTTGCCATGTGGAAGATTGTTTACCCAAACAGAGGCCATCGGCGTGACCGTAACTCAGGGGTCAAGGCTGTCTACCAGCGGTTTGGCAATAAAAGTGCACCCAACGCCTGGTATCAACGAAATTACAGAGCGCCTACTTGAAAGTGCCCCGCACAAAGCTCTCCACAAGTCGGTGAATGCGCGTGGGTGTTGGGGTGGCGACTTGCACACTGACCTCGAATCGGGCTCATGCGCAGCTTCCTTGTTGCTTGGGTCCAACACAGGCACATTTCCGTCAAAAGGCAGGAATGTAAATCCGGTATCAGAAAGTTGATTATTGCGGTGGGTAAGTTTCACACACCCAAATCGAAATATCCATTTTTTGGGGCGATTAATTCGCACGACTAATGGAGGCTGCATGCTGAGCACGAGTGCTGACTTTTACAACGAGACCAAAGCGAAAACACGTGGTTCAGCTTTAATAAAAAAAATCGGAATTATGCATTTTTATAACCCAATGAATGGCGTCTGAGAGAAGGCGAGACATTTTCTGGCTGAAATTAGCAAATACAGAGGCCCACCGCTGTCATCCATGTGCCAATCGGTCTTGGGAACTCACGAAGCATTGTGAGTAAATTCAGTTGCGTTGATTTGAAACTAGGAAGCCACAGTGCTCATGCAGTTGAAATTAAGTACGCAATAACATTTGGAGTGGTTGGAACCGTGTATTTACACAAAGGTTGGAAATTACGATTTAAGGTGGCACAGTACCAACTTGAGGCGCACAAATTTTAAACCGAGCAGGTGATAAGATCTCGGATAATACGAGCGGAGGCATGGTGCAGAGTGCATCACCGGCGCACAACAACACGATGCCAACCGACGCAGAGGGGGACAGACGGTGGTGGTGGTGGTGGTGGGGTGGGTCGTGTCTCTCAGTTCACACCCTGGGCGCCGGTGACACGCCCTCGTGGAGGAGCACGCCATCGCATCATGTGAACCTGCAGGCACCAACCTGCATCGCCCTGACGCACACAACCAACCTAGCCGAAGTCAAGGTCACAAATCACACCTCGTGCACCTAAACTGTTTCTAGTCGCGGATGGTGCGATGTCGACGCGAAAGTTGTCTGTGCCAGTTGGCTGTGTCCATAGTGGCTCCGTCAGCGCACTCCCAGTGCATGATTGTGCTGCCTTTCTTTTTTTTATGGATACTACAAACACCAAAATTACCAAGGTGGCACTAAGAGAACCGTGCAAAAGGTGAACGCGCACGCCACAGGAGATACGTGAGGTGGTTTCCGTGTTTCGACTGTCATAGGCATATTGATACCCACAGGTCAATCAGAAGTGCCACGGGAATCAGCAGGAGTCGACGATCTGACTGAACATGACCGCCAAAGCGTGTTCTGACGCCATCGTGTTGGGACATGTGGGGGCAACGCTGGCCCAGGGACGATGACCAGGGCATCGCTCTTCTTTGGATAAACCAAAACCGCGAAAACTGCTGTGACGCGGTGTGCACGAGTGATTTCATTGGTCGAGTATTCCAGTTCTTATCCCAATCTCCATCTACGTTTGAAAGCAAGGATCCACGAAATTCTGTTCCATAGAACACGAAGGACGACGAATTTAACCAGCGGATGAGGCAGAATGGGTAACACGAACCTACCGCTTGAGCATGTTAGGCTGCTTAGATAACTTGCCAATTGAATGTGTACACACGGAAGGGCTAAACCAATTCATTCGAGCATCGTTTCGAAGTGTACGTATGTAATCCAAATGTTGGCAAATTGAGATGATTTGTACCAAAGCCACCAGCTAACGCCCATTCTTGCTTAACCAACAGTGTTTGAGTGGATAAGCACGAGGGAAACTTCAACAGACACACACACACACACACAACCAACGGGTGCTAAAAGCAGCGGTATTCAAGACTGGTTTATGTGACGCGAGAGTGGTGCATAGCATGCTCAGTAGCTAGGTGCGCGTACATGCAGTTAGTCTGTTATTTAAAAGCTACCGCGCATATGTTATGCAAGACAACCCTACTCCCACGCCCCCACCCACCCACCCACCCACCCACCCATTCACCCATCAACCCACCCCAGGTGTACCTCCTACCACCAGTAGCCTTCCGGAGTCAGTGAGCAGCGGAGAGGATGCTGGCTTCCGTGTGCGTGGTAGCTGCGCATCCGGTCATGTTTATTTAAAGAGTGAGAAGGTGGTGCGGGAGAGGACAGGTAGGCAGTGGCATGCTGCAGCAGACTGTCCGCGTCTCTCCACACACACACAGAGCAATCATCAGTGCTTTGTAGGAGCACAGAACGCCGCTATGACTACGATTGCGTGAAAATGCTTTGAAAAGTTGGCATTTTGGACCTGGCATATGCTAGAACAAAACAATGTACTCCAGCAGACATCAACTGTAAGTAGATCGTGTCACACGTGAACTGAATCGGTAGAGCATGTTTGGTTCAAGGTGTGATTTGTACTGTGTGGTCGATCTACCGGCACACAGCCCACCCAATCAACGATGGTCCCAACTCAATTTCGTTATGCTAGGGATAAGGACAGTTGGTTGACAGAAATGGCCTCATGTAAAGTCACATTTATCAATCAACGGATCGGTGGTCGATAAACGATAGTGAAAAGGACGTCAGCTATTGTTAACTCCAACGTTTTTTTGCTCGTTAAGCCACAAGTTCAGCATGGAAACTGTTGGAAAGCACTGTTGCCGACGGATAAAGGCGGCATTTCAACATAGTTGCTACCATAATCTGGACACAGATAAGGGCACAGGACAAAGCCACGTGTCATCACCTTCTCAGTTGCATTAACACGAGATGGACAGCTAATGCACCGCGGTCCTTGAGGCCTGGTTATCAAATACCCAGATTCCAATCCAATGGAACGCTTCGTGATGGTCTCACCAGTGGACTTACTATTTATGAACTAGCAGGCGCTCAAGAAGTAGTTAAAGTACGGACATGTCTTTGAAACGACTAATTATCCACGGAACACAAAGAAAACGAGCGTTAGAATGCCTGGTCTGTGAAAACAAAAGAATTGAACTGATGAGGACTTTGGTACAATCTATTTGGCCAATCTCCAGACACTCGAGAGGTCTGCAAAACGTGGAGTAAGAACACCAGTTGTCTAAAAAAAACTACGCTCAAGTGATGAATGAAGCCACCAGCGTGGTTTAACGAGGAGACTGCATCAGACAAGACGTGGGATTAGACTCAATTATCTGATCCCCAGCGCGGCTCGTGGAGAGGCATTTCGATCTCGAGGTCTAAGCATTTTGTCACGTACGGATTAAACGTTGCATGCGTGCGAGTGTGCGCTGCAGTCTGCAGACAGACGTCGTCGGGGTAAAGCGGCTTGGCTGATTGGGAGCGCGAAGGGTGAGGGAGGAGGAGGAGGAGGGTATTCAATGCCAGCGTTGGCAGAGCGGGTGACTGCACAACTGCAAACGCAAAGCCGACTCAACGTCACATGGGTGTGTGTGTGTGTGTGCGTGCGCACGTATGTGTGCGCCTGCCTGCAAACAGGCCGTTGACACTGCCGCACGCCATGAAATACCGCCCCCACGCCCCCTGTCTCCATCGAAATCACCCAAACCAGAAGAGGGTAGCTTAATTAATAGGAGGCAGAAGCTGTAGACGAGCTAACCTCACAAGGGGTCTGCAAACGAATCCACTCCACCCCATTTAACCGAACAATCGTCAGGAGGCAAAGCAGGAACTTCACATGTGCGAAACGATGTTCAATCCAAGATGGAGAGAAGTGCATACCCGACACTTGAAGTCTTTAAAATACAGATCATGCGTCTGTTGTCCAGATTTTTCTCTCAAGTGGTACCTTCTAGTGAGGCCAAGGTGACGAGGTATTTGTTTTCCAGCTCATCCTGTCGCGGCGTGGACCAGCTGAGCGTGTGAACGTTGCGAGGTCTCGCCCTGACACCAAGCCACACCCCCATCGCGTGATCAGTCATCTAATCCCTAACGATTTTCACCCGCCAAGCGAATCGGCTGCTTGCGGTTTCACGCCGAAAGCGGCGGATACGCAATTAGGCCCAACTTGAAAAAAAAACCGTTGCATTTGAGGGGTTAACAACTCGTGATTTTCACAGGTAACCGGAGGGAAGTGAGGATAAATAACGAAGATAAACGATCAGAAAAATGTCACAGCTTAGATAAGCTTAAAGTCGAATCCTGTAAGCCCAGAAGCGACAACGAATGCAGATTGTGCAGTAAGACATCGACGGCGAGGAATCAAGGTGTTGCTGGAACTTTAAGGGGATGCGAACCCGTGGAGATTTGACGCGAAACTCAAGTCCCTTGCCCTACACCACAGACCGCTAGGTGCCCTCTGCTGACTAACGATTGGGCTTCGGGGCACGTTCTTTATCACACAGGCATATCTCGTCCATATTCTGCACCAGACATGAAAATGAGTCATTCTAATCCTCGTGTTTAAACAGTTTGCCTCCGACCCGATTATTATTAATAGCTGTGGCGGGCCGATTGTCGGAAGGCAAGATGGTCTCCCCAGGTTGTTTGTTGTCGGTAGGGCAATTTAAACTCCTCGGCAACGATTGCCAGAGCTGCGGATAAGGCGCAACAGAACGGCGAGCTCACGAGGAATTCAAGGGCAACCCGAGCCATAGCCGGCTTCTTGCGCTTCGGGAATCGTCGTGTGTGTGCGCTAATTAGTTATTCGTGCAGAGGACTAGAACGTTATGCCTCCTGCGCACGCGCACACGAGTATACTCACCTGACCAACCTACAGGTAGCGCCAAGTTGGCGTGAGCACAGGGGGCGTAAAGAGTGGCCGGCGTTTCCACAAAACCACCGTCCCTCCACGAAAAAGGGCGGATTCACCGCATGCTTCTCGACCATCGATGTGACGGACGAATCGACGAGAGAAGAAACGTTTGGGGGAAAACAAGACAACAATGGACAATGCCATGTGAAAGTCCGATCCTCGACTGCCTTTTTTGAATACGTGATGTATTAAGGGAAATAAATGCGTTAATTCACATTCCGTCGAATGAATTAATGAAGACGGGAGTCAGAAAGACTGGAGGCCAAACTACGAAAGTAAGAAGTCAATCTGCGTGTTCCGCGTCTTGCCACACGATTGTTCATAGGTTTTCAGCACGCTGCGACCTTGCTTACTCCACAACAGCGGAGTCTAATCTAGACAAACTCCCACACGCATGATATTACAAGTCGTGCTTGGGTGTTCTTTTGGGAAGGGGGGAGAGGGGGGTGGCAGAGGTTGGGGGATTCTGACCCCCAAATCAGAGTCAGACGCGCATGAAGCAGAGGCGTGTGAAAAACAGCCGGAGCCCACAAACCGCTCCCCAATTCTAGTTCAGTCACCAAGACAAGCACTGACAAATGCACCTTTAGGCTGGAAGCTGTGTTGATGGGTTTCGCAACTAACGCCCTATTCAACACGTGGAAACAGAATTCCGTGAAAGCCGGCCTGGCTTCGGGGTTAGATATACCCAGGCCAAGCAGCACCTCAACGGACGCGGGAAGACGGTGAATGCCGTTAACGCAATCCTACCTTAGGAACTTGTGAAAAACATGCTTCCCAAAGATTTGCCTCTAGTGGCTGTACATTCGACAACGACTGCAGTAACTGTGCCAAAAATTTTCACGTTTTTGGAACTTGGGATCTCAACATTGCTGGATTATTCGTTAAAACAGAAAACGTTGCAGAATTGTTTTACAACGCAAAACATGTGAGGAAATTTGGGCATTACACAAACACAATTTACTATTTTTATTAAGTTATTTAGATTAGGTGTTCAGGAGTTCTCCTAGCGCTACACATGGACATAACGGGAGCTAAGAAATTACGACTCACCAGAAAGGAGGCTGCCAAGAGACGCTGGGGGTACTCCACAACCGGAACCGATCATGGGAAGTGGCATTGCATGCTCCCTTTGCTCGCCCAGATCAATTGGTTCTGGAAGCGGTTGGGTATACTTGGCGCCCAGAGCCGAGAGGGAACGGAGGTGATCCACGGTATCGCCGGCAGCGACGGAGGGTGGCGTGGCTCGCTGCTGGTGTGCCAAGTATGGGTTGGATGGAAGCACTCGTTGGGAGGGTGGAGTGGAAGCCATAACTCGTTCCCGCTGGAGTTGTTGGAATTCAGGCGAGACACTTCCAGGCCTCATAGTGGGTATAGCATGTTGCTGCTGCTGCTGCTGCTGTTGACGATATGGCATAGCGGTGGTGGGGGAGGCGTGGAGGAAAACATTTGGTGGTGCCTGTTTGTAAGCTTCTTGGCTAGAAGAACTGTAACTCGATTCGGACCAGGGGCCCATACCGCCAAGTCCCCCTACTGAAGGTGGGTTGCAGTGCATGCCAGAAGAGGAGGCTGGGTAGTGGAGTAGTGGGGAGGTGACCTGGGGACAATCAGGGACGCTAGCTTGATGAGCAAGAGGTCGACTAGGCGGGCGCTGGTTGGTGCCGCCAATACCAGCGACGATGGGCGACATTGTGGAAGCACTAGCAGCCGACGCAGGCCCGATTTGACCATGGTTCGCCCTGCCAGAACCAGAGGCAAGATCAGCTGGTGAAGTTGAACTAGATGCCAATGCAGCCATCGACGGTAGGGGAACGGGTCCATGAGAGGGGGTAGCTGCCGCCGAACTTCTACGCGAACAGACATCCATTTCACCACTACGTGGATCAGCCACTTCCATGGGCTGGTAAAGAGAAGTCTCTCGTTTTACTACAGTGCCACGCCTAGATATGCAACCGAGGTCCTCAAGCACTTCGCCCAGGCCGTCCCCATCAGTTCTTTCAAAACAGTGGCTGCCTGTGGTGTCCAAGGGGTACATGCCAAGGGGACGCATCGGTGTTACCGAAGTTCTTGCATAGGCAGTCTTTCGAAGATCCATCGACTGGTCATCTAGGGCGTCTTGATCGTACTCCTGGTCAGGCATCTCGTCGTCAACTCCAAGCTTATCCAACTCCTGTTCTTCATCAGCTTCGGATTCATTCAATAACTTATGACGTGAGTAACTCTGGCTTCGACGTAGTTGTGTAGAGGGATCGGTTTCATCAGCACCCTCACTATAACGCCGACCGTCGTCATTATCGTCTTCTCCCTCATCGTCTTCCTCCTCTTCTCCTTCGTCAAATCGACCTGGCAATGAGTAGTCCATTGCCTGCATTCTGTAACCTCGGCCTCGCCCACCTCGCGAACCAGGCCCGCCACGTCTAATGGCCCCGATATACTGACCGCGCGGAGAGACACCGCTGTTGTCAAAACTCCCGTCATCGACTTCTGGGAGCCAGTGAACACCATCAGGTCCCCGACCACGCCCGCGTCCTCTGCCTCTGCCTCGACCGCGTCCTCTCACTGAGGGGTCCTTGTTAGCATAAGGCGATGTGTGCGGATTATGCCGAGAGACGAGATGAACAGCCATCGCCTCGGCAGTGCACGGTTCTAAGTTGTACAGACGCTCCAAGTGAGGCTGGAGCAACTGCTGCAACTTTGGTCGCCGTCCCCGTTTGCGCGGAGGTGCGGGGGCAATAAGGGGAGCACCCGCGTTACAGGTCAGTTGATTCTCCAGTGTCTCGACCATGTGAAGCTCGTCGGCGTTAAGAGGCTTGCTGGATGCAAAAACAGCGTGCACCACATGAAGCGGCTGATCCTCCAGACTTGCAATCACTTCGTTTATGGCCTGGTTAACTTGCTCCGCCAGTAATTCGCCGGTTACAAATGGTGGAAGGAGGGAACGAGCGTACTCGCGAGCAGCTTCTGATTCGGGTGCATTTGGATCCAAGTCAGCTGTCTTCTCTAACACAGCCAAGATAGAGGGAAGGATGTGAGCTGTGGCGTTGTTGGGATCACCGACAAGATTTTGTTGCCCAGGGGAGGCAGAGGAGGGGGCGGAATGAGGTACAGAGGTCGAGGAAGTGGTTCGGGTCATCTGAAAGTTGTGCTTACTTTGTGCAACAGACGGGGAGTTTGGTGAAAAAAGTTCGGGCATGTCATCTTTGTCAATTGGATCGAGGACTCCATTGATCTCGGAGCCAGAGGCGGGGAGAATGCCACCACCCGCAGTTGTCTGCAGAATTGGAGGAGGCGGAAGCGGTCGATGGAGAGCGGCAAAGGAGTTGGGGCCGGGCGAGACAATGGAGGAGCCCTTGGAGTGCTTCTGACGATAGTGTTCGGTCAGAACACTCTTCTCTCGGCAAGTAAAGGAGCACAAATCACAGTGGAATGGATTTTCGCCGGTGTGCTTGTTGTAATGAAGGTCAAGCGACTCCTTAGTCCGAAAGCGCCGTTGACACTCGGGCCAGTTGCAGTAATACTTCTTTTCTGAATCTAAAGAGCACGAGCGGAGACACGATAGAAGGCGTGGTTTCAGTAAACACAAATTCAATGAGAATCTCAGATAAATGAGTTAGGTCATTTAAACGGCAAGATGACTACTTGATAAACCCAGCTGACTTTAAGATAATATTAATTTGGGTAATAACAAGTTTGGCTTCAAGGAGTATCTAATTAAAACACCTGTAGATACGAACCTATCTTAAAATATGGCACTTAACTAAAGTATTAAAATCACTGGGATGGACCATTTACTGGCGGTTCTACCGGGCTTCAGTAGGGATAAGCGATGGACGTAAGACGCAGTCAAATCGAACTCGAGGATGTTCAAGTCTGAGCTGGACTCACGTGAGTTGTCATCAACAAGCTGGCAACACTTACAGATGGTGAATGTAGATTAATGGAAACCGAGTAATAACTTAGAGCACAAGTTGGACCGAATTTTTGTAAAGAAAGACAGGTGTTTGGCCTTACTTAGCATGATAACAAGTATTAAACAAGAATTACTATCAGAACAATTAATTAGCTGCAGCTGACGAAGTGAGCTTTGAGCACAAGGCGAGCATGACAAATAAGTTGGGTAAAGCAACAAACCTACTTAAGGAAGCAGTTATTTGTCAAGTAGGTCACTACTCTCGCATACTTAAAAGGAACATAGAGACCCATGTTATGCCATGTAGGTAGCCCCAAACGAGACATTATGGTTTTAATTTTTAAGAACTGTGTACACATTCGTGTTCTAAAACATGGTGCACAAAGAAAGACACTGTAAGCTATTGGTAAGGAGAATGAAGAAAGTTCAAGATCTAGCAGCTTCGAAGACTGAAGGCTCAAAAGAACTACAAACTAGCCCCGACTACAGGGAACGCGATCAACCTTTTCGTGTTTGGAAAATGGAAGGAATAAGGATTGGTGACAGTTACTAATCTTAAAGAGGTTTTTAGTAATATTCCAGTCATTCAATCCAGTTTGGATTTTAAAGACATGAAAAGCCATTTGAATCAAAAAGTTAGTGAGGAATGAATTCATGATTATAATTACGATGACCTGTAAAGATAATTTAAAACTCAACGTAATGAAATTTGATTACTCCCCAAGAGAACACTGAACAATACTTTTACATTATCTGTGAGAGATTTCAATGGCACAATAAAAGGTCCGAAACTTACCGTCATGAGTTGCAACATGGCGTTTCAGGTGAGTTTTCCGATGAAACACGAGAGTACATCCATCGACGGGACAAAGGTACTGCTTGGGTTGCATATGATGAAATTCATCGCGGTGGTTTTTTAGGTACTTGGGAGTCCGAAAGGCCCGATCACATCCTTCGACATCACAAATATAGGGTTTCCTTGGGTTGTGTATGTCTACATGATATTTCAAACGAAGCTTCGTTTTGAATGTGCGGCCGCATTCATCACATCGGTAATTGTTCAATGCACAGTGGGATTGCTCATGATTTCTCAACAAGAATTCATCGGTAAAACTAAGGTTACACAAATCGCAGTGGTATTTGCTTTCGCCCGCTTCAACGTGCGTGGATTCTATGTGCTTCAGTAGATTTTTACCGTATTGTGTAGAATAAGGACAGTGTTGACATTGGTGTCGCTTTATAATCTGACCGGCATGTTTTTTGAGGTGGCTCCGTAAAGACGACCTGTTTGTATAAATAGCTCCACAGAGTTCACATTCGTAGTCCTCTGAATCAGCAGCACCGGAAGAATCACAGTTCTTGCTGACGGAATGATGGTTCCCATAATCCGTTTCTGAAAAGCCCAGAGTTGAGGCCATTGGTGGGAATTCATGTCTTTCAATAATGGAGGCATCAACACTACCGCCAATAGATTGCACGCTATATGAAGAGGCAAAACCACGATTCTTTTCAAGGGGCAAAGCTGCAGGAATAGTACTGGGTACTGAAGTACAAAGAGGAGGTTGCATAGGGACACTTTCATTCAATCGAAGGCTATGCGACCTTTCGTCGACGGATGAAACTCGTCTGTAGTCAAGGGCCGCGTCGTCGTTAAATCCTGCAACACCTTAAAGTTATTAATAATCAAAGATATTTGACATACCAGACTCAGGGTTCGATGAGCAAGTCTCATAGCGAAAAGAAGAAGCATACTTATCTAAATGTTTCAGTCTTTCTTTTAAGACAGGATTATCCGCAATTTTTCGTTCATCGTCACTCGTGTCGTCTTCATCATCTTCACTTGAAGTTTCCGAATCACTCTCAGAATCTTGTTCTTTTTTCGAAGAGTGGCCGGTTAGCAAATCCACCTTGAAATCGACACATTCCTGTTCGCTTGGGATCAACTTTGTATCATCTGGGAACTTATCACCGTTAGACAACTGAAGTGACGCTGACATAGCGCATTACACATATACCAGCAGTGAGACTCTTAGTTGGTTTCAGTAATCACAATTCGAATCTTAAAAGCAAGATATTTCGAAAGGCGACGTAACAAGTTCTCAAGGCTGCAAATTCCTTTAGGCGCCATAAAATAAGATGACACAGAGTGGATATTATAAACAAATCTTAGGTAAAATTTGATGGAGATATGAGTAATAATTTAAGTGGATAAAGAGCTGACATTTTTAAAGCTTATGTGCGTCTTAAACACTAATTTTTATGTGTGGTCAAAGTAATCAATTATGAAAATTACCACTGAACTAATTTTTTGTGAAAGCTTGCAGGAAATTAAAGGCAACAATCATTGAAAATTTATTTGATTTTAGAAACATACCATATTTGATTTTTTACTGTTAAAATGCTCTTAAAGTAGTTTACACTCACTAATTTCCCCGTTTGAAGCTTCAGAGAATAGTACATTGCAACGAGATAATTCTGTCATTAAGTTTATTTTTAAATATTTACAATTAAAAAAAAATTTACCTGAAACCTGATTGCATAATTTGTTATTAAAGTTACATAAAAAGAATAGTTTTCAAGGACCTCTATAAATCGATGCATAGAATTCTACCTCTATTCAAAAAAATGCATAAGTGAGAATTAATTTAGCCGAAAAACCGATTGTTTTTCGCTTAAATTTTCAAGTACCCGCGTCCACCCGCTGTTTCTGACACTTATTTTTTATATTCCGTAACCAGTCTATTTAACACGAAATTGTAGGGTTATCATCAATTTAACTTTACTTAAAATTTTGCATTCTTAAAAATATCTTTCGCGTCATATATTATACTGTGTGGGGGTTTGTTTTGGTAAATATTACGTTTCTTACGGTCAACAACTTAATAATTATTCCGTAAAATTTTTTTTCAAAAACTATTAGGATACTGAAAATGGTATTATCTACATCGTACTATTAAAGGCTTCCTCACGACAGCATGCATCCTATGCTTATTGGATTAAATCTGTCTAACTTTTGACGAAGTTAGATGTGATAGCCGGTGTCTCATATGAAATGTCACCAGAAACCTGATTAAATGCTCAATACAGGAAATAAGTGAACAGCTCTTTATTTTACTTGACTATCTCAAAATATACTCAATAAAATTATAATCTGCCGCACGCTTGAGCTGGTTGCTTTTGTATATATTCCGAAGCATGCGAGTCAACATACAGGTTCTAAACTGATATGCACTATGAGTCCTTAATGATGTCGATACGTGACGTTGTCAACGATTTCAGTTGGAGGATTAAATAATGGTCCTCTTGTCCTCTTCCAAGCCAAGTACAAAGTATGTATGATGGAGAATTTACTCATATAAGTCTTAATAACTCGTGGCGTCTCCTTGAATTGTCATCGGTTTAAATTTAAGGAAGTAACGATGTTTTTGCACAAGTAAGCCAACCTATACTCCCCTTTTTCTTATTACCCTAATTTTAAGGTTCTTCCCTACAAAAGGAAATTTATGATAAAAATATGTTCTTCCAAAAAAGTGTTATGCGATTGATTTAGGCTCAGGGCGGGGTTAATTTTTAATTGTTTGCCCGTAATGCGACAGAGTTAATTAAAAAACCAAGATTCATTCAGCGTAGATTCGTACCTGGTGTAGAATACCCGAGCCCTAGAATGGAGGGGACTGGTACAACAGAACAGGCTTTATTGACCGATCACAAGCACGAATCACACGTCAGACGCTGTCCATCAGAGTCCACCACGCTGGTTGCGCCGCTCGTTATGTACCGCTTTTCTAAATGTCTGTCTCTGGTTGGTTGCATATCTTTCTCACTTGGCACTGGAAAGCAGAGAGACAGAGGATTGGCTGAGGTTAGTGTGGTCAAACATGTCTGCGCTGTCATACGTCGTTACACTACACTAGTGTAGAATACCCGAGCACTAATGTGAAGAAGACTAAGACAAAAGACAAGGCTTTATTAACCAATCATAAGCCAGAACGACGCAACGATCGCCGTATATCCGAGTCAACCACGCTGGCTATATTGCTCCTTATATGCTTCTCCTCATTCGTGTTTGTCTCTGATTGGCTGTCTACCTTCCTCGCATACCACTGGAACGCAGAGTGACAGAGAATTGTATAAACCCAGCGTGGACCAATGTGTCTGCTCCCTGATCCGTCGCTACATTGCCACCCCCTCAGGAGTGAAGCTGTTCTCAGCTTCTGGCTTGGTTCCCCGTACTATACATGATTGATGAAATCTCCAGTTCGACACTCCCCGATACCCCCATCTTGCAGGATGGCGGCCCAAGCGAATAGTAGACTAGGGAATTTGCAGAAAGGCCGCTTCACCCATCACAGATTCCTTCTCCACGTGCAATCCAGCTGGCATCTATTGTCCATGTCGTCGCTGAGTTACCAATGCCTCTTCAGATGCAATGGTCCCAATCCTGGGCAATGTCCTTGGATCCAATGTATGGGACATCGGATGACCGCCATGGCCTTCAGCTGGCATTTAAGGATCTTTGTGTCTGTTGTCCATTGTAGGGAAAGGGCTGGGGTTCGATTCGCATTATTCAAACGCATCCGCTGCCACCCAATGTAGAATACCCGAGCCATAGTATGAAGGAGACTGGTACAGCAGAACAAGCTTTATTGACCAATCATAAGCCACAATCACATGTCAGACGCAGTCCATCCGAATTCACCACGCTGGCCACGCCGCTCATTATATACTGCTCCCCATTCATGTCTTTCTCTGGTTGGCTGAGGCCAAGGTGGTCCAATATGTCTTCGCCCTCAGACATCGCCACTGTAGATTACCCGAGCCCAAATAGGTAAAAGACTGGTACAACTGAACAGGCTTTATTGACCAATCAGAAGCCAGAGCCACGCGTCAGGCGCCTTCCATCCGAGTCCGCCACGCTGGCCACGCCGCTCATTATATACTGCATCTCGTCCATGTCCTTCTCTGGTTGGCTGCCTTCCTTTCCCGCATGCCATTGGATCGCAGAGGGACACGGGATTGGCTGAGGCCAGGTGGTCCAACATGTCTGCGCCCTCATCCGACGCCACACCACACCACATCACAACACAAGGTTTAATTTAAGATATCACTCTTTTTCAGTACTGAATGAAACCTGATATCTCCGAATCCTCTAGAAATCAATAAAAAGAATGAAGATAATCTGTAGGCCATCACATTATAAATTAGACTATACTTTTTATGTTGCCATTTTCGATTCGTGTACGATTGGTGTCTGTCGGCATCGGTCACTCTCATGTATAAAGCTACAAAAATGCACACCTTGTGGTCCTAACACTGCTTTATTTTACCCCCTTTCTGCGTATCGCATTTTACCTCATACACTACTTAATTTCCCGCTTCCAAGTTAAGAGCAAAGCTTTGTCCAGAGATTTAATGAGCGTGTTGGTTATCGAGATCATGTTATTATTTCTCAGAACCGTGGATGCTATAATTAGAATCAATTTATTGCCTGCATATTGTTGTCGAAAATTCTTCAATGTATATACTATAAATGCATACTTAACCGTACATATTCAGAATCAAACCTTTTCCTAGAACGTGCCAACCATGACAGTAGCCAGCCTGTGCTGCGCGTGAAGGTGGCATTTTGTTCTTAGGCTGGCCATGCAATGAATGGGCGGGCAAATGCCTAAATAGCCGTTTAAATGTTTAAACGCCCAAGTAGTTTCTGGAAATCTCTGTAGATCTAAGAAAGTTACTACACTTCAAAGTCCTCACAAATTTCTTTTTTATGTAATTGACTACTTAGCAGTTGACAATTGAGGTTTATCAAACGAATTCATATTTTTTACTGAAGGAAAATGAAAACGATGTCAGAATTCGCATCAGTTTCTAGTTGGCAAAATAATATATGATACAGTTATTCTTCATGGATTATGATATTCCAGACAGATTTAAGCATTAGAGCCGATGGAGGCGCTGTTCGCCTCACGATAGCTAATGTGTCAAGTATGAAGACGTCATATCTTGAAGCATTTAAGAGTACTTGTTAGGTATGAGGCGCACCTGCAACCACCTGAATCAGAGATGTGGAAGTGCGTATATGAAAAACCTGAGCTTTTGAAGAGATCATGGCCTGCTAAACGTGCTTTCTAATTAACTATTTCAATCCCACTTGGTGAAAGAAATGAGCGTTGTGATCATGTTTTTTTCATTTAGGACAAAGTTTCGACATCAGTCAAATAAAGGTGAGATCAGAGAAGCAAACAGGCCAAGTTAAGGAAAATTTAGATTGAGCAACAAGTTGAAATGTTTCAATAGGAAGAGTCTGAGCAATCTGAATTAAAAGGCACTGAATTTGATTACGGTAGCGAAATTCAAAATGTTGTGGTTCTTGGCATCCAGATGCACGAACTAGTGATGAAATTCTCAAACTTGATTTCACACTGAAATTACCCTAGCTATTACTTTATTTCCTGGATTTTTCGGATTTGAATCTTCGTTTTTAAGATGACTCCATGCTTCTTACGTGAGTAGATAACGAAAAGATTTGCAGAACGCCGAAATGTAGACTTGGCTTTAAAAAGGAGACATTCAGTCGTCTGTTCAAGTTTGAATTTTCTGTTCCATAAACTGAGAAAAGCTGCTAAGCTAAATGCATTCTTGAAAGCTTTAACTACTCACAGTCAGGGTATTCAACATTACGTCAAGACACTTTGTTTGGCGGGTTCAGAGCAGTTATTTGGGTAGTAATTACAAATGAATGACATTTTAGGTAAAGTGCGACGTATTAGTCAATATAATGCAAAATTTAAGAGACAGTCTGCACGTGATTACTCCTTTTTACTTAACCACACCAAACTAAAAGGGAAGCCACCGCAAATTGGCGAAAATTCGCTTGCACTTCAACCAGGCCAGCTGACACGATTCCAGACATCACAGCCGATAATTAAGTCAATTGAATATGTTGAAGAAGAAAAAAACTAGAACCGTTCCAGATTTGTAAACCTCCAATGCAAGGCACAGTTAATGCAAGTGTGAGGGGTGCTGACGTGGAAAAAATTATGGAATAATAAATGAGAGCTGAGATTTTGGCTCATTGTTAGTGATAAAATATTTGCGAATTCACTTTTTTGTAATGCATTGTACATGAAGGCGATAGTCCTGTATATACAGTCACTTGAAATTGCAATTGATAACGCGAAATTTCACTAATTTGGGCAAATTTTTAATTTTTGAACATTGCTAGCCAACCAGTTAGTCAAATCAGACGGTGGTTTTAGTGAAGGGATCTTCCTTCTAGCGGTGAATTTCAGGTCATGCCACAGCATTGAAGAAGTTGCCTATTTTGAAACACTTTTAATGCAAAAGCACCCATTAATCAATACTATCTGCTAATATAGGGTCAGTTATAACCAGATTAGGAATGATTCGGCTGTAAAGATGCTTTTATTAATTTAAGTAGATTGTTATCATGTAGAGCCACAAAAGTACACTTGGAAGGTTTTTCCTTTAGTTATGCAATTAATGATGCATGAGTATTTGAAATGAAAGTATTTAAACATGCACAACTGCCTGAATTCTTGGCAGATGATCTCATATGGGAGAGATGTCATTTTAATTTTCTCTGGACGATTCAATGTGACACAACACCCGGTATTCCAGGCAAAAATGTTGAACTTTCAATCAAGATAATTTCCTTGAAAACATTGCCTGACCTCGAGTTGACTGGTGCGCGAAGGATCACTCGTCACATTTGTTTTCAGAGTTTGTGGAGCGTAAGTTCAAAATAAAATACTGTTGGTTTCATCAGGGTCGATTTAATTGAGTTAGATATTATCACTTAAAACTGGCAGAAAAATGTTTTTCTTGTGATTTGTCCCAAGTAATACCGCTGTTTCTCTGAAGCCAAAATTCACATGTGAAGCAACTTAGAGTGAGCATTGTTCCTCGCCTGTCAGATATATCCACAAGATGCTGAAACCGCAGCCTCACTAGGATGTGGGCTTTAGATGATCCAGTGCTCCTAAACGGCACCTATAGAGGTGAGACGACTTAAGGTGTCACAAGACCCATTGATATTTTGGCAACCCAGACATATCCCAGCTTCATAGCCAAAATATTGCCTCCGGGGACATTCCAGTTAACGCATTGTGATCAAGAAAACAAGGTGTAGTGTTTGGCAGCCAGGCGGGATGGCTAACTGATGCTTTAGATATTACGGGAAATCTTGTTAAAGGAACCAGAGATAGCTGTCACGGGACAGAGCATACCAGAGCCACTAATGTTGTTGATCACGGGATGGCTGAGGTAACGTGATCACGGAAGAGGCCACCTTGCTTGCTATATCTTTAAAGCAAGAGCGAATGTAATGCGACAAGAGAAATCCTAAAGGAAGCGAGGCAGCTTAAATCTGTTCGTGGTTTAGGAGTCAACCTTGGACTGATACAGAATAGCCCATGATGGAATGCCTTCAAGTTACGCATTTTAGTCAACTCGCAAAGCCTTATCGATTAATCTGATTAAAAATCCACATACGGACATTCAGAATACGAAAATCAATATCTGAATGCACAAAAGGCATCCAAAACTCAATTTTTGAGTGGAAGATGCGCAAACCACTTACTCCAGTCACACTTGGATTTACCAGAAAGAATCTTTTGAGCCAAAGTTTATTTAAACCATAACTAGGGTGAAGGACTTATGGGTGAATGAAGATAGGGTCATGTAATTGTGGTCTAAGGTAAAAAATTGTCGTTAGTCATTTAAATATCATACAAGGATACTTTTTCTAAAATATCGTGAACTTAATGAAATTAATAGTGCCTTGGAATAAAATACGGATTTTCACTGTAGAAGAATTAATATTATTACGCCGATTCCAGTTAAACTTGATACTCTCGGAAGAGTGAATGAGTGTTAGACCTGATGTCATCTGGGTACTTATGAGTCCCACTAACGTCACGTTTACCACGCCAGAAACTCGTTAAAGCAGATAAAAGGACGTAGGTAGCATGAATAAACGGCTCTGCTGGCTCGTGGCACAGCTGTGACCCGGCACACACGCCATGCTCTCACTTTTTAAATTGTGAATGTGGATAAGGGGTTACTTGTGATAACTCATTTGTGGAAGTGTTAGTGGCTAACAGAATGAAATTTTAACTGGCCGTTGCTATGAGGAAATGTACTCGTTGCGAGGTTTCTTACTGAAAAGGTACAAAACTATGAGAAAATTTATCTGCTTTTTCCGAGTCATACAACAGGCAGGTCACATGAGAGGGTCAGTCCTTTGTAATAAAATTAACGTGCTTTAGGAATAATGTGGGTTTAAATTTATGTCAAAAGTGAACTAACTGGCTGGCCTAGAGATTAAAATTTTGCCAGGAGACGGTATAATCGGGTTAGCACAACCGTCTATTCTCCTGTTGAACTTGGTTTCGCACTTTAGCCACTTAACAAAACGTGGTTAAAAGATTAAAATCCAGGAGCCTTCGTGCCAGAACCGACACATTTGAAAATGAATATGTCAAGGCGATGGTGGGGTGTGAATGGGGTACCATCAACTTTTACAATAAACAAAAAACCAGTTTATTATTTACTGTCGGCTACAGGAATTCCTAAATGGAATCCCCTGAAGATGGTAGTTTTTTTTAGCTGGAAACCCGATGACATAAGGAATGGCCGACCACACAAATTGGACAAAACGAAAATTGTGAATGGAAAGAGCCATCCGTAATTACGCAGTGCGTTTGGGATAAATTTGAACCACCATCAACAATGCGATAGTGTTTACCTCTAGACCTGAAAGTCGCTAGATTTCGCTTTATCGGATGTGGTTGAATACATTTTCATTTAACGATGGCCAACAAATTTTATTGAGGGCTGAATGAATGCTTTGTTGACGAAACTTTGGCTCAGATAGTCAGCGAAAGAAAAAAATAATGTGACCTTAATGTAGTGTTAACATGGTAACATGTTTTGGAGAAGAGGCTTTGAGAAATAAAGCCTTGAAAAACACCACGAATTCGTTTGAATTTCAGTGGCACTAAAAACAGAGTGATTTCACGCTTTCTAACAGGAGTTTTGCCACAACATTACGATATTATGCGCACAATATGAAGAAAGCGGAAAGGCGTGTTGTTTCAATCCATACTAAAATTTATAAGTTAACGAACGATAAAAGGGTGCATAAAAACTTATTGTAACTGTCGCGCCAATTTGAATGTGTTGTGAATAGCGTTGACTCACATTCGCTATTCCGATCACTCCAGCCTCCGACACAGGGTCCCCCTTTTCTCCCCTCATTCTCACGAACATTTATCCTGGATTATCCTAGGTCTCGATGATAGCTGATCTATGACTCACGCATCTGAGGTATAAATACACACGCGAAAACGCCACACACGACACTATGACACCAACGTGGTTGAGCTTCGAAGTGAACGGTTGTGTCCACGACCTCTCTGGTCTGTTTTTTTCATCACGGGATTCAGGGAAGGGTAGTCGGGCCAGGATTAAATCAATGGCCCCGGCTTAGCTCGAGATCTTATGCGGGGGCCCACAACAAATGCATACGTACATTAACGTCCCTGTCCCAGAAGTTCAGTCGTATGTATTACTCTACTAACAGCAGCCCTGCTACAGTACAGTTGACCCTTGGCACTTGAATGCAAAATAAAACCGAAGAAAAAGGTTTCACTCGTGCATATTTTGACCTGAAGGTTATCAGAATAATGTTCTTATGTACGAATTGGATTCGGTTGCTAATTCTAGCACTGTGAACGCTTATCGTGCGTAATTTCACAACATTACGTTTAGTTCCACTCTCTCGCCTGGCCTCTGGTCTTCATAAGGCAATATTCCCTCCAAAATGCCACTTTTCCGAAAGCAAGCAACTTTTTGCACTTGCTACTAGTCATGAAACCTCTTCTTTCTGAACTTTTCCGAGTAGACTTTCTCACAATGTTCAAATTAATAGGTAACGAGACCTTTGACGTGCTCAAACTCAAATCTTTGCTTGCATTCTGCAGCGATTTCTTGAAAATTAACAAGAGTCTGGGATTTCATCATTCGTTAATCCACACATGAGCACAATAACATCAGTGAAACGCTTTCAAAAATACCGCCACGCACTACACTGGTACCTTGAATACATTAAAATGAAACGGGGAATAAATATTCTTATGTAATGGGCGGGTATTTATCAACGGGAGAAAAGTGATGCCAAACACGTGTCACAATGGGTTTTTTGGCGCAAAGAAAAATGCTTTAGCTTCATCCCACCACAAACAGGCAAAAATCACAGGCCATTGTTACATGTCGCTACACACGTAAACAGATGAAATTTTGGCATTAGTTACCATAACACAAGTATGGAAAATACTCTAATTGCCTTTGAGGGTTTAAATATCACCGTAAACAAGGTTAATAAAATCCTAGTGGTGAAATTTAATTGGCACATGATATCTAAACCTGAATTCGGTCCATCACCTGTTCTGAACAAACTACCAAACAAGTTTTGACCCGAAAGCATCAGGGCAATTATGACGACGATGTAGGCTTGACCATATAAACTACGGCTCATCAAAGTTGTCGTCAGCGGAAAAACCGGGCAGGAGGGTGACAAGCAGGATGCGAAGTGCGGGTTGATTAAATTCGCCGATGTGGGTAGGCTGTAAAGAATGCTGGTTAAGTACGCGTCCAAATAAAAAGGCACGCTGGGATTGGGTGAGCAAAGGGATGAGAACACAGTGAAAAACGTTAATTAACACGACTCATTTTGCTCACATGCGAAGATACTAAGAGGCTTAGTTGGTACTCTGAGGACAGTTGCTATTTTCTGTGAAATTGTGCGGGATTCCTTATTTAAAGGCTATAAATTGGGGCTTAGACACTTTCGATAGTGCAATGACGGATTATCTTATTTAACCGAATGGAGCAGTCACAAAATTCAAGAAGTCCAGTTGGCCAATTAATTCCGGAGAAAGTAACTGGCAGGCTTCACTCATATTCGAACTATGTCTATATAACATCTTAAGTAACTGAGTAGTTTTATTTTTACTTAAATCGACTTTTGACAATTTCGTGTGAGACCTGGAGTCAACTGTCACTAGAAACTATGAAAAGGAATCGGGGAAAAAGAGTTTGGAGTGCCAGGGATCGTTACCAGACACTAACTAGCTGGGATTCCTTAACTCTCGTAGCACCATTCCCTAAAGTTAGTTCATTGTCTTTCGTGTATTATCTTGGTATGTGACCTAGAGTTCTCGAAATCCTACTGGTTCATTTTATAGTACGTACAAAAAGACAACTCACAAAAGAATGAGCCACTTAGAATTCTGGGTACTTTCTGAGAAGGTTGGCCCAAAAAATTTACCTCGTGCAGGCAGACAGGAGGTCGAACAGGTGGACAACAGCATGAAAAAGGCACAAACTCTTTATTACCGACAAAAATTCGCAAATTGGTTTTTGTAGAACTGTAGGGGCTATAAGGCCATCTTAGCAGTCTCCTTGTATCACAAGCCAGTCAGCAGTTACAAAGGATCAACTAAGATGTATCAGATCACGATAATCAGGAACCAGACGATTTCGTCATGAGAGAAGGGCTAGTGGCGTCTAATCAACCACTCTAAATTTTCACCTCTTCCTAGCTTTTTTTGCAAATCTTAACGTTGTACATCTTAATAACGTTACTAAAGACGCTTAATTGACTAGCTAATATCGAAATTAAGCATTTTGGCATTGAAGGGACATCAAGAAAACCAATAAACATGGGCAATGGGCATAATATATTTACAGTAATTCTAAAAAATGGACTTCTAACTTATTTCTGTAATGGACAAATAACTTGACGAGTTTATAAATAATTATAGAAAGAGGAGTTACATTGTTAAGTACCGTTTGCTGTGGAAAAGTAAGTTGTAGATATAAATTATATTGTACAAATCGGAGAATAAGGTGAAGAATAGTTTGCCGAGGAAACACGGTGCCGTGCGGCTTCAAATAATGCTTGGTTGGAAGTTTTAACCCAAATAAAAGAGAAAGGAGTAAAAAAAAGGTGAGGAATTATATCTCCAAAAAGAAAAAAATATATAAAATAGCGTCTTATCTGAATAAAACCAGAATATAGAAGCAATTCTGTTCAGAATAGACACGTTAACAAGAATAAAAGCCACGAGAGCAATTCAGAGGACCGATATTATAAAAAAAAGTGAACACACGATTTGAAGAGATGCCACACTGCATGCAAATACATTACAGAAAAAATCAGGAGGCATGCAAATAAAGTTCTACTTTGTTTGGGAAGAATTGTGAAGCCGTGAGAGGAAGATAGCAGACCTAATAAATATAATGGTCGGTGGAATGAACAAAAGTACTGCCAGCGCTAGTGCACAACCATTCCCGATGAGCGGCGGGGGTATCAAGAAAGCATATTGAAGACAGGAAAAGGCACCGGCAATCGCTCCACCGATGCCATAAAGTGTTCCAAACTGGGCAATGGGAAAGGCAGCAAGTATTGAGGATGAAAAGGTACTGAATAGAAAGCCACGCATCACCACAAGAAAGAAGAAATTAACGTAGTATACCTCTTCCATAGGCACAAACACCAAACAGCTTACTATTAGGGCGCATGAAGCCATTATGTACATGGAGTAGCCCATTGGACGCAGCTTAAGCCACACAAGGGCGTTATCTCTATCAGACGAGGGCTCAAGAGACAAAAGATCACGAATCTTTGGTCTGAAAACAGCGCGAAGTTTGTCGATTACAGAGCCGCAGGCAAGGCCGGCTAGAATTCCTCCAGCTAGGGCAAAGGAAAGAGTACTGCCTATGCGGGCTGTGGTGTCGGTGTCATTAAAGTGGGCATCTGCTGCGGGGGTGAGTTCAGCAAGGAAAAACGTAAATCTCAAGAGTGCGAGAGAGAAGTAGATAACAGCAACTATGAAAGGCAGTGATGAGAGGGACTTCCGTCGATTTGGGAAGATTTCGGTCAAAATTGCGTCTGCTTTGGCATCTGCTGACAACTCCTCTACCTCAACTATTGTCTCTTCCTCTTCGTCTTCTTCCAGTTCTTCAGTCGGCTTAAAATAAATCGACATCAATGGTTTGAGTAGTTACTAAGATGCAAACTGTCAATGACAAAGAGAAATAGTATAGTATTATTACGACAGTTTAAAGTGGTACGAGTCATGAGTTTGGCGAGATTTACCTCATATGCACAGTCCAGTTTTGAATCTTGACACTTTGTAGCTAAAAGGATGCCCCCAACATCTATGCTTAACTGACTCAATTACCATAAAAAATTCCCCTTAGCACTGAAATCTGGGTGTGTTAATTAAGGCTGAATAATGAGCCGTAAATTATAAACGTCACAAGCAACCTCATGTAAGGGTGTTTGGGCAACTTTTTTAGGCATATTTTGACCCTTTATGTGGCACAAAAAGAAGAAAATCAAACTCACATTCTTTGAAGGCAGGTCAATATTCTCAAAGTCCTCCTCGACAACAATGCTTGCATTTGATGCGTTTTTATAAGCTGCCATGTCAGGGAGCCAGTAGGATAGTATGAAACAGGCGCTGAACACACCCATAATAAGTCCACAGAAAGCGAGGATCAAAAAAGTTGTTTGCAATGAAATTCCTGCATTATATGTCAGCTGGACAATTGCAAACAGCGAGGAAGAGGCATCATATGAGCCTGTCACAAATGCGAGGACGATAACAGAGGTTGTTGTGAACAACTGATTCACGGTAAACATACACATGAACATGCCCATTCCACCGACCGATGCAAATGTGCCTCCGACAAAAATGATCGGAGAAGTTGACGGAGTGACAAAGGCAAACATAAGCATTCCAATAAAGTAAAGTAAAGTTGAAGCCAGTTTAACAAGCCGAAGGCCTATGTAATCAATCAAAATGCCAACAATAGCTAGAAAGATCATCATAACAACGGAGTATGTAGTGAATGCATTAGCATACATAGCAACCTGCTCAGGACAACCGGTAGGGTTAGTTGAATCGGGACAAAGGTTTGCAAATATAAGTTCCTTTTGGAGGACAGGGAAGAGGGCGTTCATGCCGTACATGATGCCACCAAAAAAGAGCATTTCTGAGACTCCAAAAATGACTGCAAGAACCCGTCGCAACTTGAACGGCATGCAGCGGTCCAACTTCAAGCCTGGAATGAATAAAATTAATAATGGTTGGTTTCCATTTTTAAAAGAGGAAACAGTAAATCAATTAAGAGAAAAGGATATTCAAAGAGCAAAACCTCATTCACCTTAACCTTTAAATCCTCTTTAAATTAATAGGATAATAGAAAATGGCAAACCTCAACGATAATATTAATTTGTGATGAAAAACATCCACGTCCATCATTGTCACTGCATAAACTTAAAATAGTAAAACCTTTGAAAAGGAAAAAATGCAAAAATTAGGTCTTGTTTGTGTGATTTATGCTCCCATTAACGGGCATTGGAGCTAATTGTGTACTGGACAAATGCAAATTAAGCAATTAAAGGTGATTGCAATGGGCTCTATGGTTGAGCTCCTATTAAGCAGCTTGCATTCATAGAAAGAAAAATGTGTGCGTATTAAAAGAAAGGAAAGCTTTAAAAAATATTACTAAAACGCAACCGCATTGCAAAAAGCAACTGCAAAAGCAGAGCTTTTAAGAACCAGTACGAAGTACAGTGTATTTAGACCCAACTACCGTATATTCCTCGAAAATGGCTTAGTACTGCAATTTACAATTTTACTTGAAGGCTATTTGCCGAAATGCTTTAAGCAATAATAACAACACCGATTTATACTTGTTAAACGCGGGACAGTCTCCGATGATTAACCTGAACCAAGTCTTAAAGTGTTTAATAGTCAAATGTAGGTCACACAATTGAACCCTGGTAAAAGAATAGCATAAAAACATACTATGGTTTGCTAAACATTTGACTAAATAACAAGCAGTTATCGATTACGGACATTGAGCCGCATAGAAATCATTACCTATCAGGATAATATGGAAAAATATACAGAGACAAAAAGCACCAAATGTGGATAGCACCTTCCAGACATATACAAAAGGTTATATGTAGTGACCTTCAGGGTTAAGCTGATAGCTTACGGCACTAAAAGGACAACTACAGTGACTAGTTGGAAATTGCACGAAAAACGAAATTTTTCGGATTAAGGTGGCAATCACTGCAGGCTGCATGGATTAAAAACTAGTAACATAAGTTTTCTTAGCCCAAAACACTGATGGCACTAATGTTTCAAACAGCCAAAACAGAATAACAGAACTACATGCTCCAGTCTGAGAGCGAAAGACAAATTTAACAGATTTCAATTATTTTCATATATTATTAATAACGAATTGATTTAAAAAATCAACACAACAATTTTTGTAAACATACGAATCTAATTATAAGATCATTCATAAGGTATTTAAAAAGACAACATACATAACTTCCACATTGTCAAACCAAAATAATGTCTGGAATGAGGTTGTGCTTAAGATAATCCTATTTAGAATAGTAAAACAACTTGCAATTTAAATGCAAACTAAAGAGCATCTTATGATATTAGGTCAAAACTTTTAATTGTGTTTTTTATAGATTTTTAAAACTAATTAACCAAAAAAATTCAGTGACGCTCTTCTAAAATTTTCGTGCAAATGGATCCCAATTTTCTTTCTGATTTTTAAGTCACATTTATTTGTATGTGCGATTTGCTAATATTTTATGATTTTAATGTCAGTTTTGTTAATTGAGGCGTTCTTCATTATGTGCAATATTAGGGCAGCAGATCTAACAGTTCTTTGTATTTGCCAATAATTTTTACTAACTGTTATTGTAACAGATTTCATCAACGCTTTTAAAATGCGAAGGTTTGCATTCTATAACGATAGTTTTTACATGCATATGTATATATATTTGGCTTTTCGGAGAGTTTCTAATCCATGAAACTTTGAATGATATTGCTTTGCCAAAACGCTGACATTGATTCGAACAGTCACACAACCAATTTCGTCAAACTCCCAAAAATTATGAACGCAGTTAACAACGAACGCATTTGAACCAGCTTTTTTGCTACCCTTAAAGAATGCATTTAAAGAGCCCATCAAGTTTTTCCAGATTACACAAATGACAATCCTTGGTCTCCAATTTTTGACTAGAACTCGGCATATTCCAGTGTCCTTTAATTCATGCACCAATTGTTATCGATGCCAACGCCTTTTCTGTCTTGTTGCACAATTCAACACAAAATCAGCCACAATCGCTTGACTCAAGTCGAATCTACATAACCGGGCTGAAAATGGGTACAACCTCGCCCACTCATGAGTTTCTTTAGAAGTAAGAATGACAAGTGGACTCAAAGACAAGCAAGAAACTTTGAATATTAATAACCTTCGTAGAAAAACGTTTTCGCTGTCCTGCTTTTTCATAAAATGAGAAATTCTATCTTTGTCACTTAGGCGGCAGACGAAATTCATATCTGTAATTTTACACAAATATGGCTTAACTGTTGCGTAAATGCATTATCATTAAAACTGAACCACTTAAGAATGGATAAAACAAGATTTCTAACAAAGTAATCATTAAAGAATTCTGAATTTAAAATTGATGTAATAGAAAGACGAAATTTATGAACATGAACTTACTTATCCCAAATATGTCATGCTTCTTTACTAGGAAACAGTTGTCATTCATGAGATTATTGTGCCTACTATGCAGTAAGTTTTATTCTTAAAGCACAGAAATCACCCACCTTGGAATTTATTTGTCGATAAACTACGTATCCAAGGGTGCAATTTGCAATGTAAACGTCAAAGCGTGGCCTTTAAAGATTGGGCTTGGAAGCACCATAAGATGTAAAAATGTTCCACTTTTTAGCAAACCTAGCCATCTTTTAAAGATCCTTTAAACCACGCCAACTAACGTGCTTCTGTATAAAAATCTCTGAAAGCATTCATCGGTTTTGGCTGTCCATTACTTCAATTATTCTCCGAACTGCTTCATTGTTTTAAAATTCAAACATTAATAAACGTTGAATAATCGAGCCCAAGTATGATAAAGACAAATAGAGTAAAGCAAGCTTTATTGACCAAACTGAAGCCAGAACAGTGTGTCAGAAATCGTCCATAGGAGTCCGCAATGCCGGCTGCGTCGCTCATTATCTAGTGAATCTCATTCGCCCACATCTCTGATTGGCTGCTAATCTTCAAAGTAGGCCATTCAAACGCATAGAGGGAGAAAGAGTGTTGATTGAGCTCGGTGTGATCCGACATGACTGCGTCCTTGCACGTTACTAGAAACTAATGTTATTCTGAGTGTGTGTTAATATACTGCATGTTGACAGAGACCAACAATATCAGTAACTGGCGGTATTCCGATTAAGAGTAGATTCCTCATGCAAATTCCTCAAAGAAATGGACCACGTTGCATAAATGCAAGGTGATTCAATAAAAGCCGAATAAACGAAATGTTAGAAGAATAGCTACCCAAAATCGCTTATAATCAATGGTATCTCATGTTGATAGGATATTAGTTTATTTATTAAGTGACCATTCATGTTCATGGAAGAAGCCTCACGATCATGATTAAGATGCCTAGTAGAATTATGGTGCCTTTAAGGATTACTGAAATCAAGAAAAGCCCGTGGTTTTTTATAAATTATTAGAGGGCTGCCAAAACGATGAATCAAGCCTCATATTTTCATGTTTTGCTGCGTAGCTTCTCATTCGCTACACTTCGGACCTTGGAGATTGTTATGACGACCTTCACGAAATGACGTAGGAAAATAATTAACCTAATTGATTGCTCAAACTCCAAAATTTAGTAAGGAGCAGTTTGAACATCAGACAAGGAAGACAGTCTGAGTTCATTTGAATAACGTCACAAAATTACGAAGAACAGAGAGAATTGTACCCTACATTGGATCAAGAAGCTACTCGGGGTACTCACGACAAAAGGGAAAGCTATGCAAGCAAATGGATACAGAAAAGAATTGCTTAAAAATGTTACAGCAGAACAATGGGTACCTACACAGAAACCAAATCATTATTTGAGGTTGTGTTTAAATGGTAGTCAAAAGTGCAAACTTCCAACAACTAACACATTCACAAAGTGGACTCGAAAAAATGACATTATGCCGTCTGTTGGGATCACAATGTACTTTTTAGCTTTTACCGATACAAATCCTTTCCCCAATAATTAGAAGATCAGTCGTAAGTCAGTGAAAGTTACCGGCGACTCGGACCGTGTTTGAAGGACACCGGTGAAGCTCCAGTTCAAAATTTATTCTTAGAGGCGTCGCACACCAGTGACCTCTGATGAAAAACGCATTAGAAAGCTATGGATCACCCTATAACCATTTGTTACATAGGATTCTGGACCCACTGACTAATATAACGACGGTGATCATGAGCAAATTTGGGGTTGCATAAGGGCCAACACACCCGTCTGACCTGAAAATACGTGGACGGCCAAAGAACAATATATGAGATTTCGACTAACTGAATGCAAGTCAACGCCCTCCACTACAAAGCCGATCTTTTCAACACGCAAAAAAGAAAAAGAAAAACCCAATTTGTACAATAAGGGTGTGAGAACTTACTGAACATTAGGATATTATAACAACCGTGACAATAAATGAAAAGAAGTTATAGGAAGTATGGGGTAATGCGTGCTGGTGGGATAACGCGTTCATTATCTGGGACCGCGGAGAACTCTTTGAAAGAGAAATTTCGCGGCGATTGAATATCGAGGATGGCCGCGATGTTACCACATCGGTAGCAGTAATTTGGAGCCGACCAAACGGTTATCAATTTCCCATCAAACATCGATTTGTGACCCTCATTAACAAGCTGGTGAGCTCGACAAATAAATTCCAGACCATTCAGAGTCACAAACTTTTCTGTCACCTAGAATAGAAGGAAAACTGATGGAAAGACGAATGACGGAACAACACTAACACAGTCGCGAAGAGTATAATAAACTACGTTTGAGAAGGGCGCATCGGAAAACCACACAGGATAAAGCACCTTAGGTAAGCTGCTAAAAATTGCAACAAATTCCTCACCGACAGATGAAGTCTTCGTAAGCTAATTTTACGGAACAAAAATAAGTTAATAAACGACTTCTATGCACAAGCTACATGACTAGAAATGGACAATTATGGTACAGGACCAGGTGACCACAAAAATTTAAATGTTTCATAACAGGGCTCCCAAAAGGGGATAAGAAAAAAAAAAGAAAAACAACACCACAACCTCAAACAACAACAGTGAAACATGTGCGACCTCAATTTACCTTTTGACCAAAAAGGAATCCTGCACCACGAGGGCTAATAGTCCACTTAGAAACATCATCGGGATCAGACCAAAGCAAGTCGCATAAGGGTCCCTTGTGAGGTATTTCCATGTTTCGATCAATAGTCCGAATTTGATCAAGAGTTTTGGTTTCGGGAGAAAGACCACCATGCACGCAAAGAATTGTTTCATCAATAAGAGCCGCTAACGTTAAAAGATCAAAAACTTTGCAACACTGCCTCCAGGGATTGGCATTACCATACTTATTCATACATTCATCATAAAAACCGTAAACCTACAAATAGAGAACCTTAAGGGTTACGATTGGCTAGCGTAAGAAAAGTGGGAAAAAGAAAAAAAAATGGATACGAATTACCTGAGTTATTTGTCGGCTTTCATGATTGCCGCGAAGAAGAGTGATCCTATCTGGATATCTGGCTTTGAGTGCCAAAAGTAAAGTAAAGGTTTCAAGACTGTAGTAACCACGGTCAACAAAATCTCCCATGAAAATGTAATTCGTAACCGGCGGTTCCCCACCAACTTGGAATAGCTTCAGTAGATCGTAGAACTGTCCGTGTATATCGCCGCAAACCGTGACAGGGGTCGATACAGGCTGAACATTGCACTCCTCCATCAACAGTTCACTGACATATTCACATAGCTTTGTAAGATCTTTCTCAGGCAAATATTTACACTTCCGAATTGCTTCAATCCAGCCATCGAGAGAATCAGAAAGCATAGCCAATCTCTTACACGCCTGATTGGTTAATACTATTAGTCTTGGATGGGCACCAAAATATATAACTGAATAAACAATCCCCAACTTGATGGTTCAAAGCAACAATAAATTGTCATTGGAGTTTCAGCTGACTCACAAGTAAAATTTATTTACAAATTTATTAGTGTCGATGAATTCTCTTAATTTTGATGTACAAAAGTGACGTTGATAACCGTGCCAGCACCCAAAAAGCCTGATCGGTCAAGTTAAAGTTTAGTAAATACGAAGTTGGCAATTTTCTAAATTGTGATACTTTTCGAACTTATCATTTGGTCTATGAATATTTCATTTTAACATCCAAGTATGTAGTAGTAGTAATATATCACTTGCCATTCTACACTCCATATTTAATAAACTTTCAAACTGAAAAAGGTATGTTTTATTGATGTACTGCAACTACCTCAAAAAGCTGCATTAGTAATGCAAATAAATTAATGGCTGTTTTTTTATTAGTCCAACATTTCACTTCAAAAGCAAATCTGAACCAGATTATCTATTAAACCCGTTCGATTAACTTCATTTTTAGATAATCTTATGAGAGATACTTCTTATCCGCACTTCTACTTTAAGTGGTAACTGTAACTCCCCTGAAAATTCATCATCGCCGTCTTTTGCACTACTCACAACGAATGCTAAGCAGACAGCTTTGCTTATAAGCTCCCGTATATATCTATAAGTTGAGAGGATGTGAACCATTATAAAGTCTAACTCGTCAACAGAACTTACTATTGCTTTTAATTCAAGAGATACACATAATAACAAGTCTCATGCACCTAACTCCCTGAATGCTGGCTAGTATCTGATTGCAATTTCGTCATTTTACACATTAGTAAATCACCGACAAGCCTCTGTAGCAAAAATAAGACTAATATGATAGTCAATATTGCACGGTCATCTGTATCTTTAAAGTAGTCACGATTTTCGCTGTATTTCAAGATAGAAATATTGCCATTTTCATTAACAATTAGCTCCAGGGGTGATCCCATGAAAAATAGCAATCGGTCGGGGAAATGCTTCTGTAAATTGATTCAAATTTTGAAGAAGAATATTATCAGTTAAAGTCAAAAGTATTGAACCTTCACCAAATTTTAATAAAGGGGCTAAACCAATATTAATAAAACGCAGAGAAACATCAACAGTTCACATTATCAACTTACGACGAAACAAGACATGCCAGCGCCCCCAATCCATCAGAGACGCTGGATAGATTAATATAAATGGATAGTGACTGTCCAGATGGTTTCTCAATGTTTGCAGCCCTGGTTAATTTTATTTTGAAACCATCACTTCGACTTTTGGCACAAATTTCAACCAAGGAATTAAGAAAAATTCCAGCTGCCAATCACAAATGTCCAGTCCTGCTAGCACATCATAGTCCTGAATGGGTCGGCCACTACGTTAACGTTCCGTCCTACACAAATTGGAAAGGCCAATCCCTATCTATTTAGAAGTCATGGGACATTTAATCAAAATCGTGCGTCCTAGAAACCATACGTATAGAGTGAAATATTTGTCATTAGATTTTCGCGAAATTAGCAGTCAAAAGTAAGCAAACGCCCCAAATTGACGTGATCGCTACTGACGGGCGCTTATGTCAGTAAATTCGCTTGGAAGACAAATCGTTCTATCTGAATTCGCAGGTTAGAATGAGCTGAAAAAACCCACACATTGCAAGAACAAAGGAACCGAACGCTACCCTCATCGAGTATTTTTGCAGCTGTCATTGATATGCTCATTATTGCTCACCTTATGAATTCTCGGCCGCTTTTACACGACTTCCGATTAAAATATCATTGGCTTGACTAATCGCAGCCTTGACTCTACCTATTACAAACGCATGCTTTTTAGTCAATTTGGCCAATTTGTCAATCCATTTTGACACTTCAGCTAACAATGGTGGATTGAACTGATTTGAAATGTTGCACGGCAAATGTAAAGGAAAGCCATGGTTTTTCACCTGCAAAGGCAATTTCAGAACAAAAAAAAACCGATCTGGATAACTGATTTTGGCTGTACACAAATAGCATGTCTCAAACTCAAAAAATGTCGTTGAAATATTACCCGTATCCCAAACACACACACACACACACGCGCCCTCGCAGTTCCAATCACCTTGCACTGCGTCAAATATTTCATCATTGGCTGCCAGTGTGCACGCATTTATTTCGCTTGGTGACATACACCGACACCTTCAAGCGATCCACGGCTAATTTATCAAACTAATGAGAAAACATCTACTACCTGCCACAAAGAGGAGGTTGGAATGTCAACTGCCTATAGACCATCCTCCCATTGACGTGGAGATTAAGAATCTGGTAAAAATGACAAAAACTAACTTCTCAACTTCATAGATCAGAGCATGCAACACTGAAAATACATTTCTTTTATCGGGCGATGTAAGATGTTTGGCAACCTCAATGGCGTCTTTTTAATGTCAAATCTTATCTCTCTTGAAACAATTGATCCGTTACATTCTGCTTTTACGTCAGCGTCAAGGAAAGAGCCAAAGCAATAAAATCAATAAGCCCCTCGAAAGGTGACCCGAAGACCTGGAGAACTTTTAAAAGGTAAATTTAAGCTAAATTTCAGTGCGTTGACAAACAATGATACAACAATGAATCGCTTTATTATTGCTTTATTTGCAACTGTTCCGCACCGTAAACGTCAGCCTGGCAAATAATTTATGCCTCGTGCGTTTATTAACTCGATGTTTGAAAACTTGGGACACACAGGAATGATTAAATTAGGTCTTTTCTGTTCCCTCATAAATGCACGAGTGCCACAACCCACTAAGTACTTTCGCCATCTTTAAAGCCTTAAAAGCACTTTGGGTTACCGATGCGATAAAAAATGACTATCGCCAACTCTTTGTGTCCACTTATGGCTCTCAAAAATGCTTTCTTTATTGAGAGCCATAAGTGGACACAAAGTCATGATTACTTAAACTTAACACCACGTAGCTGATGCACAAAGAGCCTGATTAGTGGAATGCGCCGATAGGAAAAAGCGGTAATTAGAAGTAGTCGGTAGGGTGCATGAGTGGCCACAGTCAGACCCCTGCTACACCTTAACCTCAGTCTAAGATTGAGAACTGATTGAAAACGCATAAACAATTACAATATTTTTTGAAGTTTTGAGAATTCTAAATGGATTCATTAAAAAAAACATTCGAATTGATGGTGCTTGAAGGTAGCCTACGCACATTTTCTGAAAAAAAAGATCGTTTGTAAATGAAATACGCGAAATTTCAACAGAATCAGAGGCTGAGGTCTGATTCAATTCTACCATTAAAATTGCGTGGTGGACTGACTGCATACACACCCCAAAGCCCACACACACGCGTTAGCTGGTCATGCAATGCGAATCATTCCATAAATTCATATTATATATGGCGTCGCGTTACGAAATAATCCTACATTACAATTATGAATAAATGTTTGTAAATTCAACGGGATTTAGGAGACCACACAAACATGCTTATTGAAACATTTTTAATATAGCTAAATAGCAAATATAAATGGCAAAAATACAAAACTAAGATCTGCGAGGGTTTTTGTGGCGTCAAAAACAGGCAACAATTATGCTGTTTTCTGTCCCACACGATGTTTCAGTTCTGAGACGGTCGCATTGAGAAATTGGGACAACGCAGTGACACGATCAACCAGGCCCTTGGTGCGCTCTGTGTCGGGCGGTAGACGGGCGAAAAAACGATCGGGATGCCAGTCGACCTGCAGCTGCCGCAGGTGCACCAGGCTCTGCTTCACAAACCTCAACAGGCCCTCCGTGTCGCCAACGGTAATGGGCGGCCAGGGTATCGCTCGGCCACCGCCGGATTTCAAAAATGCCCGCCACTCATTAGAGTACTGCTCGTAAGAGGGTGACAGCACGATGGTCGACGATGACGGAGTGAGCAGACCCCGCTGCTTGAGGCCCTCGGCATGACGACGCCGAAATTCGGCGTCCTTCGAGGCTGACGTGTACTCGCTGCTGTGTGCCGGGTCAGCAGGGGGTTGTGTGGCGTGGTAGCGCTGGCGTTTGCGCCGCTCGTACTCCCTGCGTACTTCTTCAAAGTAGTCCCCAGATAAATTGTCCGTATCCGGAAACCCTGGAACAGGCAGTAATAAGCTATTTACTTCTGTAACAGAGACCTCACGCTCAATTAAAATAGGTCAGGTAATACTGAATACGCTACAAAGAGTTTAACTTGTCTCAGTGTTGAGGCCCTAGTGAGGTGAGACTGGCCTCTGAATCACTGAAGTACTTGTCCTCCCTTAAATAACGGGATGTGAAGGAGCAGATGCAAGAGGCGTTTGACAGCTTAGAGGAAATACGCTTCCACTTTAAGGGCTATTTTGGTCTTCAAGTAATCAAAGTACCAACAAAAGACGACACAGCCATTACAAGACTTCCAAGTTTGGCCAAGATAAGTTTTTGACCTTCTAGAACAGGGACAGTCGCTAAGAGTTAGCTTCGAAGTTTGTCGTAACGGAGAAAGTGGCTGGACTACATTAATTAAGTGACTTGAAAAGCAAAACGAACAAAAAAGGCCCCAGAAAGAGGACGTGGTTAGACGGCACAGGAGGTCAGGTCAGATGCGCGCACCTAGGCGCGTGTGCACCCGCGCGCACACACCCTCTAAGGCGCAATGGCGTCGACCTGACGCGCGGCCGAGGTCAACTAAGGGGTGCCGGAATCGATGCGTGTGCCTGTGTGCTGCTGCCGCTGCTGCTGCTACCGCCAGGCGCGAGATTGCGCACACTGATTCTCGGCATGTGACGATCATCAAAGCACCCCAACACGGCTGATCTGTCACCTGCACGGAAGCCACAACGGTGTGGAGTTTAATTTAGACAACTGAATCATCGAACCGACTAAAAATGACTCCTCGTGATCAGACTAGCCGTTTTCGGTTTTACATACTACGCCAACGTTTTTGACAATAACGCGCTCTTTCCAGAAGTCAGGTTAATTGGAGATATCAATGGATTAACTTAAAGCATGATCGCACATGTTACGAAACAAAGAGAAAATGTGAGAACGAATTTAGGGGCTTAAAAACGCCCGAACAAAAAGCACAAAGTTGAAATGCCTAGGCATAACCACTATCATAAACTCTGTACGTATTAACTAGAAATGGATGCTTTGATCTGTTCCACAGTCCGAAACCTGGTACGGGGTAAGTTTTACGCTAATCTTCGCTGCTGATTTTTAAATCGCCATTTAAAACGTTTTAAGTGTGAGAAGTTACTTGTATAAAATTGCAAAAAATTATCTAACACTGAACACACGCGTACTAATGACCGCACATCACAAAATCTAGGAGGCGATTAGTTAAGGTGATGCAGATTTTAAAAAAAGGTGACAATCGGACAAAAAAGTCACCTCATCTCGAAACAACTTTCGGATTTCTCAACAAGTCACATCTTGACAGCATTAAGGTAAAACGGGCCAATATGTGAAGTGGAATCCCACCAAGTGATGGTGGAAAGTTAGTCTGGATTTCGCGTGTAGGCTGGCGTGATTTGGCAATGAAGCTACTGTTACACTGCCTGACTAATGGCCAGATAGAATAATAGGTTACTGTAACAAACGTTAGTAGGCTCAAAATACCCACTTTAAATGGATGTGTTCGGCAAATAGTTCTATGAAGGGAACAAGTGAGTCGGAGTTTTGTTTAATGGACTAGATGGACAAGCCGTGGATTGATTAAATTGGATCAGGAGTGTGTACCGCGACAAAAAACGACAATATTTGGGTATTTAGCGGGGTTTTTAAGGTCAAAATTGCGTGGTGTAGAGGCGCTACGCATGGATCGACTTGTGAAGGGCCAAAATTTTATTCAAGGGCGTCCAGTAGTATAAGAGAGGGTAAAACGCAAAAGAGGGAACATGCGAACCTTCAAAGTATTCGTCGAACCGCGGAAGATCAGAATACAACTCATCGGCTAAACGCTCGTGCCAGGCTTCCTCCGATGTTCCCTCAAACTCACCCTGACCTGGAAATTCCATATGAAGATCCTCCTTTAGGGTACAGTTCATTAGAATCTGAAAAGTAGCAAAATGCACTGAATGACGGCATCTGTTTCTTTTCACAAAAAAAGAAGCTACAAAGAGGTAATTAGTAGTACATTAAATTGTCAAGTCATGACAGCGAGAAGCAAGGACAAAGGTAAGTCAGACTTAGGAACCGCCTCATTGCCAATCAAGAGCAGCCAACTCACGTGTTCTTGTGAAACTCAACGCCTTATGCCAAGTTGTGGTGCAATCAATAGCGGTAGGAGGCTTCGCCTGTGTGGGCCAGACCCGATCGAATCATCTGACAGCGGATCATGTAGAAAAGTGTTGTAGGCTGATTCTGCCGTTAAAGCAGCCTCCCCCCCCCCCCCACACA